TATTAACAGAATAAAGGGGAAAATGCACAATCATCTCAACAGATGCAGAAAGAATATTTAACAAAATACACTACTATTTCATGATAAAAACATTCAACAAACAAAAAGGAAACTTCGTCAACCATTTACAGAGAAACCCACAGCCAGTATCAAACTTAATGGTTATAGACTGGAAGCCTTCCCCCATGGAAATCTGCTATAGAAAATATTTAGGAATAAGTCTAACAAAAGGAGTGCTTGTATATTCTAAACTACAAAACACTGTTGAAAAAAATTAAAGAGGCCCTAAATAAATGGAAAGACATCCCACGTTTATAAATCAGAAGACAATATTGTTAAGATGGTAATACTCCCTAAATTGATCTACAGATTCAATCTAATCTCTATCAAAATTTTCCCTGCTAGTTTTTTTTTTTCCAGAAATTGACAAGGTGATTCTAAAATTTATATGGAAATGCAAGGGACTCAAAATAGCCAAAACAGAGGCACCTGAGTGGCTCAGTTGGTAGAGCGTCTGACTCTTGTTTTCAGCACAAGTCATGATGTTGGGATCCTGGGATGGAGCCCTGCATTGGGCTTCCTGCCCGGCAGGGAGTCTGCTTGTCTCCCTCTCCCTCTGCCCCTCCTCCCGCTCATGCTCACTCACTCGTTCTCTCTAAAATAAATAAAACTTAGGGGCGCCTGGGTGGCTCAGTTGGTTAAGTGACTGCCTTCGGCTCAGGTCATGATCCTGGAGTCCCTGGATCGAGTCCCGCATCAGGCTCCCTGCTCGGCGGGGAGTCTGCTTCTCCCTCTGACCCTCCCCCCTCTCATGTGCTTGCTCTCTCTCATTCTCTCTCTCTCAAATAAATAAATAAAATCTTAAAAAAAATAAAATAAAATAAAAATAAAGTTTTTTTTTAAAGATTTTATTTATTTATTTGACAGAGAGAGGCAGAGAGCCACAAGCAGGGGAATGGCAGAGGGAGAGGGAGAAGCAGGCCCCCCGCGGAGCAGGGAGCCCGATGCAGGGCTCGACCCCAGGACCCTGGGATCGTGACCTGAGCCGAAGGCAGACGCTTAGTCGACTGAGCCACCAGGTGCCCCAAATAAATACATCTTAAAAAAAAAAAAAAAAAAAAGAATAGCGAAAACCATCTTGAAAATGAAGAACAGAGCTGGAGAACACACGCTTCCCAATTTCAAAACTTACTACAAAGCTATGGTCATCAAGGCAGCATGCTACTGGCATAAAGACATATAAATTAATAAAATACATCTGAAAATCCAGAAATAAATCCTCACATTTATGGTGAGCAGATTTTTTTAAACAAGGTGCCAAGACCATTCAAAGAGTAAGAATACCTTTTTAACAAATGATGCTGGATCAACTGGATTATCTACATGCAAAAGAATGAAGGTACACTCCAGCCTCACACCATAAACAAAAATTAACTCAAAATGGACTAGGGACAAAATGTAAGGACTAGGGGCGCCTGGGTGGCTCAGTCGTTAAGCGTCTGCCTTCGGCTCAGGTCATGATCCCAGGGTCCTGGGATCGAGCCCCGCATCGGGCTCCCTGCTCGGCAGGAGGCCTGCTTCTCCCTCTCCCACTCCCCCTGCTTGTGTTCCCTCTCTCGCCGTATCTCTCTCTGTCAAATAAATAAAAAGAAAAAAAAAAAAATGTAAGGACTAAAACTATAAGACTCTTAAAAGAAGTCAAAGGTATAAATACCTGTGCCCTTGGGTTAGGCAATTGTTTCTTAGATATGACATCAAAAGTACAACCACCAACAATAAAATTGATAAATTGGACATCACTAAACAAAAACTTTTATGCTTCAAAAGGCACCATCCAGGAAGTGAAGACAACCCACAAAATGGGAGAAAATTTTTACAAATCATATCTTTGAAAACAGACTTGTACTTAGGATATATGAAAAACTTGTACAACTTAATAACAAAAAGATGAATAACCCTATTAAAAACTGACAAAAGAGGGGCTCCTGGTTGGCTCAGTCAGTTAAGTGTCTGCCTTCAGCTTAGGTCATGATCTCAGGGTCGGGGATGGAGCCCCACATCAGGTCCCCGCTCAGGGAGGAGTCTGCTTCTCCTTCTGCCCCCGCCCCACTCTTTCTCTCTCAAATAAATAAATAAAATCTTTTAAAAAATTGGCAAAAAAAAAAATTGACAAAAGATCTGAATTAACATTTCTCCAAAGAAGATATACAAATGGCCAATAAGCACACAAAAAGGTGCACAACATCATTAGTCATTAGAAAATGTAAATCAAAACCACCATGAGATACTACTTCTCACTCAGTAGGAAGATTATAATCAAAATGACAAACAATAACAAGTATTGCAAAGGATGTGGAGAAATTGGAATTCTCATCCCTTGCTTATGGAAATGTAAAATGGTGTGGCTGCTCTGGAAAACAGCTGGCGGTTCTCCAAAAGGCTAAACACTGAGTTACCATATGCCAAGAAATTCCATCTCTATATAGAAGCTCAAAAGAATTGAAAACATGTTCATACAAAAATTTATGCATGAATGTTCATGGCACCATTATTCTAATAGCCAAAAAGTGGGAACCACCCATATATCCATCAACTGATAAATGGACAAACAAAATGTAGTATATCTATGTAATGGAATATTATGAAGCCATAAGAAAGAATGCAGTACTCATTCATGCTATAATATGAAAGAATCCTGAAAACATGCTAAATTGGGGTGCCTGGGGGCTTAGTCGTTAAGTGTCTGCCTTCCACTCAGGTCATGATCCCGGCGTCCTGGAATCGAGCCCCGCATCAGGCTCTCTGCTCAGTGGGAAGCCTGCTTCTCCCTCTCCCACTCCCCCTGTTTGTGTTCCCTCTCTTGCTGTGTCTCTCTCTGTCAAATAAATAAAATCTTAAAAAAAAAAAAAAAAAAAAGGAAACATGCTAAATGAAAGAAGCTAGGTGCAAAGGCCACATATGATATGATTCCATTTATATGAAACATACAGAATAGGCAAATCCAGAGAGACATACAGTGGTTTCCAGGAATTGGGGTGGGAGGAGGGAATGGGGAGTGACTGCTACTGGGTGTGCATTTCTTTTTGGGGAAATGAAAATATTCTGGAGTTGGACCATGGTACTGGCTGCAAAACTCTTACTTGTACACTTTTTTTTTTTTTTTAAAGATTTTATTTATTTATTTGAGAGAGAGTGAGCGAGAGAGCATACAAGCTGGGGGAGAGGAAGAGGGAGAGAAGCAGGCTCTCTGCTGAGCAGGGAGCCGGATGTGGGGCTTGATCCCAGGACCCTGAGATCATGACCTGAGATGAAGGCAGACGCTTAACCAACTGAGCCACCCAGGTGCCCCTTACTTGTATACTTTTAAAAGGGTGAATTTTACAGTATATAAATTATACTTAATTATAAAAAAAAAGAAAAATTCTGAAGTATGGGGAATTATATCTGTAAATTACTCCTAAATGGCTCAAAGAAAAAAAAATTCTTGCAAATTTTCTTTTTTTTTTAAAGATTTTATTTATTTATTTGAGAGAGAGAGGGAGAGAGAGTGCATGAGCTAGGGGGAGGGGCAGAGGGACAGGAAGAGACAGAATCCCAAGCAGACTGAGTGTGGAGCCTGACATGGGGCTCAATCCCATGACACTGAGATCAGACCAGAGCCAAAACCAAGAGTTGGGTGCTCAACCAACTGAGCCACCTAGGTGCCCCTTTTCTTGCAAATTTTCTATAAATTTAAATTATTTCAACTGAAAAAAGTGACACTGAATGACAATTATATGGATGACTTTTATTCTGCTCCATCTAAGTGCTTTTCTAAAAACCGAATCATTTATAGGGGCGTGTGGGTGGCACAGTCAGCTGAGTGTCAGACTCTTGGTTTTGGCTCAGGTCTGATCTCAGGGTTGTGGGATGGAGCCCCATGTCGGGGTCCATGCTCAGCTCTGGGTCCGACTGAGTTTCTCTCTTCCTCTTCCTCTGCCCCTCCTCCATGTGCTCGCTCTCTCTCTGAACCAAAGAAATCTTTTTTAAAAGAGTACATCATTTGTAAACTTCAAATAATATTTCATGTGGAATTTAGTTCTGAAAAAAAATGAGTTCCTAACCTGTATCATCTCATATTCTTGCTCTTTTATAATAAAAAGACAGAATAGGGGATGCCTGGGTGGCTCAGTCAGTTAAGCGTCTGCCTTCAGCTCAGGTCATGATCCCGGAGTCCTGGGATCGAGTCCTGCATCGGGCTCCCTGCTCGGCGGGTGTCTGCTTTTCCCTCTGCCTGCTGTGCCTGCCACTCCCCCTGCTATGCTCTCTCTCTCTCCCTAACAAATAAATAAATAAATAAATAAAATAAAATAAAATAAAAAAGAATAGTATAAAAGTCAATAACGTGCTTTGGAGTCTAACAGAATATGCTATTTTCTAGCTTTATGCCTTTGGAGAAATTACTCAACTCTAGGAGTCTGTTTCTCCATCTGTAAAACAGCAATAATTGATTGTTCTGTTCTGCATAGGCTAAGAAAGGACTTCCATTCTCCTATGCTTGTAATTAAAGTCTACCTCATTTAGTATACAGTCTGATGTTCTAGTTTCTAGGTTAGAAAACTCATTTATTCCTCAATCCCTACTAGTTATATTATTGCTTATCATTATTCTTCATGGTGGGTTTAGAGTAGAGATAAATTCTATTACTTACCAATAAAAGATCTGGTAGGGAAAGATATTATCCAAACTATCTGGAAGTTTAGAGACATCTCCATTGTTTATTGCCACAATTACAAGCTATGTCCCTACATACGGTTAGCAAACTAAGTCACTAAAGTGTCACTAAGTGTAGCCAATTCTAACCTAGTTTAATTATTTACAGACTTTACAGACGCTGTCAGAGAATGAGTAACAAATAAATGTTTCCTTTACTTTAATAAGACAAAAGCTATACTTGAGACCATTTATCTCTAAGGTGTGGAAGACAAAGGTACCAGGTTAGATGGAAACACTGTACTTACCAGCTGTTTGTTGTGCTGTGGCAGAGGGCACGGCTGGGCACCAGCTGGCACTCTGTATACTGGGGTTACTGACATGCTGGCAGGGTGGGCACACATAAAGCGTACCTGCACAGCCTCAACAGCTGGACTGGGGTTCAGGACACCCGGGTGATTTCCGATTCGGAATGTCAGAGCCTTTAAGGAAACAGCAGAGCAGACACTTGGATGTCAGTTGTTCCAATCTACACCTGTCAGAATTATTCAAACTCCAGTATAGGATCCCTTTGGACACTATAATCACCATAGTTCTTAATCATGTGGCTAAGAGAAACAAGGGTATCATGGAAATTTATAAACAAAGGGAACATTAAAAAATCTAATTCTGATCCATTACTTCAGTCTTCTTCTCCACCAAATCTTTCATTTACCAGTTGGTAAAAAGTGGAAAAACTATTTTGTGCTTCAACCTTTCTCTGGTGGAAGCACCAAATGAGTAACAGAATGTGGAGACAAAAGACAAGAGGGCTCCAGCAGGGGTGAGGACTCAGACACTGCCGACAGCCAGCCACATACACGACAAAGTTCACAAAGATGTTAGAAAGAAGCTCAGTTCTTATTAAATTAAAATCATACGTCGATTCCTTGTGGGCTGGTTACAGAGTCATACACTGAATTCTCAACCCTAGTCAAATTGCAAACCTTTGTTACTGGCTTGACAGAAGCAGGGCAGAGCTGTGGGTGGATCCTCTAAAATAATAAAACTAATTCAACTAATAAAGGGCAACACGCTTACCATCTTATCTGCACAGATCTAACTAGTTCTTCAAAATTGCTCACCACTCACAATTGCTAACCAATCAAAATTGCTAATAGATGACGCTTCAACTTCCCCTTCCTTGCATTTTTTTGGAGGTGGGAAACCATATATCCTCTAGTCTAGACAACAAGCAAATGAATTAATAGTGATAAAGTGACTGAAATAAGTTCATTACTACAAAACGATCTTGAACCATTTAGTAGACTGTAAGAATTCTCAAACGAGTGAAATCTTTGAGTACATTTAAAGAATAGTAAAGTTAAAAAAACCATTAATAATTAGAATTTTCCTATGTTAACTAGAATTTAAATAAGAATCTGGAAGAAAAGCAAGAATTTCCCTATCTAGTCTATAAATGAAATCCATTAGAATCTGAAAAGGAATGGCTAGAAGTACAAAAGATTTGGGGTACTACTACTAAAAGAAATGTTAGAAAAAGATCATTTTCCTACTTACTTGTTCCCCTAAATCCAGGCACAAGACCCGGTAGATGTACTGGTTCTGTTTTCTTTTAGCTGGCAGCCGGACTTGTGTTAATTCAATTTTCTCTGTCTTCTCCATGCTCAACTCTAAAAAGAACCGGGAGGGCTCCAAGATCCACGGACGGGGGCCCCCTTCAAACACCATTTCCTTCACAGACTGCCATGTCACCAATGCCACCTCCACAGGGTTTACAGCCTGATGACATTCAAAGAAATGAATCCTTGATTGGTCAGGGAACTCAACAGTTCTCTGAAGTGAAAACTGGTTGATTGCTGAAAATGACATTAGACTTAATTCCCAAATCGGGAGACATGTACACGATGCCTCTCACTTGGATGCTTCTCAACCTCTATGTTCATTTAGATCCTATTTGTCGTTCAGGCCTAACTTGTGTGTCACCTTGCCCATTAATATCTAATCATTCCATACCACAACCACTTCCACATCCTCTAAGTACTATTCATTCGTACACTAGTTCATCTCCTAATGCTGTTTGAATGTGTCAAATGTTTCACATAGAAGAGCATAATAATTCTTCTTATGCTTTCTAGTTATGTAAAATTATTCAGAGAAGAGAATATCTTCTACCTAAATTTTAAAAGAGAGTGTCTCTTCCTTAGTGGATTTAGTACAATGTTGGGCACATAAAAGGTATTGAACAAGTAGCTGTATAAGCATTTTATTTTATTTTATTTTTTTTTTAAGATTTTATTTATTCATTTTGAGACACAGAGACAGAGAGAGAGAGAGCATGAGCAGGGAGAGAGGCAGAGGGAGAGGAAGAAGCAGGCTCCCTGCTGAGCCGGGAGCCTGATGTGGGGCTCGATCCCAGGACCCTGGGGTCATGACCTGAGCCGAAGGCAGACGCTTAACCATCTGAGCCACCCAGGCACCCCTATTTTATTTTTTTAAAGATTTTATTTATTTGACAGAGAGAGAGAGAGACAATGAGAGAGGAACACAAGCAGTGGGAGTGGGAGAGCGAGAAGCAGGCTTCCCTTGGAGAAGGGAGCCCGACACGGGGCTCCATCCCAGGACCCCGGGATCATGACCCGCGTGGAAGGCAGACGCTTAACGACTGAGCCATCCAGGTGCCCCTGTATAAGCATTTTAAATGGATATTTTATTTTTTTTAATCTGAGTATAGTTGACACACAATGTTCCACATGTACAACATAGAGATTCGACATATCTGTTATGCTGTGCTCAGAAGTGTACCTAGGGACGCCTGGGTGGCTCAGTCAGTTCAGCGTCTGCCTTCGGCTCAGGTCATGATCCCAGGGTCCTGGGAACCAGCCCTGGGTGGGGCTCCTTGCTCAGCGGGGAGCCTGCTTCTCCCTCTGCCTGCCACTCCCCCTGCTTGCGCTCTGACAAATAAATAAAATCTTAAAAAAAAAGAAGTGTAGCTACCATCTGTCCCCATACCACACTATTACAGTACCACTATGTTCCCTACAGAGTGACTTTTATTCCCATGACGTATTCCATAACTAGAAGCCTGTATCTCCCACTCCTCTTCACCCATTTTGCCTATCCACCCCCACTAACCTGGCAACCATCAGTTTGTTCTCTTATTGATAAGACTGATTGTGCTTTTTGTTTATTTATTCATTTGTTTTGTGAAATTGTATGGAATCATTGTCTTTCTCAGCCTGACTTATTTCACTTATCATAATACCCTCTAGGTCCATCCATGTTGGCACAATGCTATGATCTCATTTTTTTATGGCTAATATTCCTGTGTGTCTGTGTGTACATACACATCACATCTTCCTTACCCATTCATCTTTTGATGGACACTTGGGTTGCTTCCCTATCTTAGTTACTGTAAATAATGCTTCAATAAACATAGGGATGCATACATCTTCTCAGATTAGTGTTTTCATTTTCTTTGGTTAAATACCCAGTAGTGGAATTACTGGATCACAAGATAGTTCTATGAGGAACCTCGATATTGTTTTCCAGAGTGGCTGCACCAATTTACATTCCCACCAACAGTGCACAATGGTTCCTTTTTCTCCACATCCTAACACTTGCTGTTTCTTCTCTTTTTTTAGTCATTCTGACAGGTATCAGGTGATCTCTCACTGTGGTTTTGATTTCCCTGATGATGAGTGATGTTGAATGTCTTTTCATGTGTCTGTTGGCCATGTGTAGGTCTTCTTTGGAAAAATGTCTCTTCAGGTTCTCCGCCCATTTTTTAATCGAACTTCGTTTTTTTAGTGTTGAGGTATATAAGTTCTTTATATATTTTGGATATTAACCCCTCATCAGATATATCATTTGCAAATATCCTCTACCGTTCCATAGTACCTTTTGTTTTGTTGGTGGTTTCCTTCACTGTGCAAAAGCTTTTTATTTTGATGTAGTCCCAATAGTTTATTTTTGCTTTTGTTTCCCTTGCCTCAGGAGACATCTAGAAAAATGTTCAATGTCATTGGCTGATGTCAGAGAAATTACCGCCTATGCTCTCTTCTAGGATTTTTATGGTTTAAGGTCTCACATTTAGGTCTTTAATCCACTTTGTGTTTATTTGTGTGTATGGTGTTAGACAATGGTCCAGTTTCATTCTTTTGTATGCAGCTGTCCAGTTTTCCCAGCACCATCTATTAAAGAGACTGTCCTTTCCCCATTGTATATTCTTGCCTCCTTTGTTGAAGATTAATTGGCCATATAATCATGGGTTACTTTTGGGAATCTCTAGTCTGTTCCATTGATCTATGTGTCTATTTTTATGTCCGTACCATACTGTTTGGATTACTACAGCTTTGTAGCGTATCTTGAAATCTGGGATTGTGATACTTCCAAACTTTGTTCTTCTTTCTCAGAATTGCTTTGACTATTTAGGGTCTTTTGTGATCCCATACAAATTTTAGTATTAATTGTTCTGGTTTTGTGAAAAATGCTGTTGGCATTTTGATAGGGATTGCACTGAATCTATAGATTGTTTTAGCTAATATGGACATTTTAACAATATTAATTCTTCCAATCCATGAGCATGGAGTATCTTTCCATTTGTTTGTGTCATCTTCAATTTCTTTCATCAATGTTTTATAGCTTTTAGAGTACAGGTATTTCACCTCCTTGGTTAAATTTATTCCTAGATATTTTATTCTTTCTGGTGCAACTGTAAATGGCGTTATTTTCTTAATTTCTCTTTCTGCTACTTCATTATTAGTGTATAGAAATACCACCGACTTCTGGGTATTAATTTTGTATCCTGCAACTTTACTAATTCATTTATTACTTCTAGTATTTTTGGGTGGCATCTTTAGGATTTCCTATGTGTTGTATCAGGTCATCTTCAAAAAGTGATAGTTTAACTTTTTTACCAATACAGAAGCTTCTTGTTTCTTTTTCTTGTCTGATTGCTATGGCTAGGACTTCTAATACTATGTTGAATAAAAGTGGTGAGCGTGGGAATCCTTCTCTTTCTCTGATCTTAGAGGAAAAGCTCTGTTTTTCACCGTTGAGTATGATGTTAGCTGTAGCTTTTTCATATATGGTCTTTTTTATGTTGAGGTATGTTACCTCTATACCCATTTTGTTGAGAGTTTTTATCATTAATGGATATTGAATTTTGTCAAATGCTTTTTCTGCATCTGTTCAAATAAGCATGATTTTTATCATTCATTTTGTTGATGTGGTATATCACACCAATTGATTTGTGAATATTGAACCATCCTTGCTTTCCTGGAATAAATCCCACTTGATTGCAATGAATGATCCTTTTAACGTATTGTTGTATGTGGTTTGCTAATATTTTGTTGGGGACTTTTGCAGCTATGTTCATCTGTGATATTGGCCCGTAGTTTTCTTTCCTTTTTTTTTTTTTTTAAAGATTTTATTTATTTATTTGAGAGAGAGAGAATGAGAGACAGAGAGCACGAGAGGGAAGAGGGTCAGAGGGAGAAGCAGACTCCCCAGCTGAGCAGGGACCCCGATGTGGGACTTGATCCCGGGACTCCAGGATCATGACCCGAGCTGAAGGCAGTCGCTTAACCAACTGAGCTACCCAGGCGCCCTTTTTTTTTAAAGATTATTTATTTGTCAGAGAGAGAGCGAGAGAGCACAAGCAGGGGGAGCGGCAGGCAGAGGGAGAAGCAGGCTCCTTTGCCTAGCAAGGAGCCCTATGCGGGACTCGATCCCAGGACCCCAGGATCATGACCCGAGTCAAAGGCAAATGCTTAACCGACTGAGCCACCCAGGTGTCCCGTAGTTTTTTCTTTTTATTTATTTTTTATTTATTTTTTTTATTTTTTTTTATTTGAGAGAGAGAGAATGAGAGACAGAGAGCATGAGAGGGAGGAGGGTCAGAGGGAGAAGCAGACTCCCTGCCGAGCAGGGAGCCCGATGTGGGACTCAATCCCGGGACTCCAGGATCATGACCTGAGCCGAAGGCAGTCGCTTAACCAACTGAGCCACCCAGGTGCCCCTTTTCTTTTTATTATTATTATTTTTAAAGATTTTATTTATTTATTTGACAGAGAGAGAGATAGAGCAGGAACACAAGCAAGGGGAGTGGAAGAGGGAGAAGCAGGCTTCCTGCCAAGCAGGGGGCCCAATGCGGAGCTCGATCTCAGGACTCTGGGATCATGACCTGAGCCAAAGGCAGACAGACGCTTAACGACTGAGCCACCCAGGCACCCCTCGTAGTTTTCTTTCTTTATGGTGTCTTTGTCTAGTTTTGGTATCAGGGTAATCCTGGCCTTGTAAGACATATTTGGAAGCCTTCCTTCCTTTTCTATTGTTTGGGATAGTTTGAGGAGAATAGCTATTAACCCTTCTTTACATGTTTGGTAGAATTCACCTGTGAATCCATCTGGCCCTGGACTTTTGTTTGTTGGCAGTTTTTTGATTACAGATTCAATTTCATTACTAACAATCAGTCTGTTCAGATTTTCTATTTCTTTCTAATTCAGTTCTGGAAGATTGTATGTTTCCTTCTTTTTTTAAAGATTTATTTATTTTAGAGAGAAAGAAAGGGGTAGGGGGAGAGGGAGAGAGAAAATCTCAAGCAGACTCCCCACTGAGCTCAGAGCCTGACGTGCGGCTTAATCTCACAACGCTGAGATCATGACCTGAGCCAAAATCAAGAGTTGGACACTTAGGGGCGCCTGGGTGGCTCAGTTGGTTAAAAGACTGCCTTCGGCTCAGGTCATGATCCTGGAGTCCTGGGATCGAGTCCCGCATCGGGCTCCCTGCTCGGCAGGAAGTCTGCTTCTCCCTCTGACCCTCCTCCCTCTCATGCTCTCTGTCTCTCATTCTCTCTCTCTCAAATAAATAAATAAAATCTTTAAAAAAAAAAAAAAGAGCTGGACACTTAACTGACTGAGCCACCCAGGTGCCCCAGGGAGACTGTATGTTTCTAAGAATTTACCCATTAAATGGATACTTTATTAAGTTAGCAAAGAACTTTTGTCCTAAAAATATAAAATAATATATCTATACACTTCATCCTATTTCTCAAAGAACTCTCACTTAAGAGGTATAGTCAAGACTGGTATTATTCACTCCAGTATACAGAGAAGTTGGATCCTATTACAGATGAGCAAACTTGTTTTAGGAGAATAAAGCATTATCAAAGGGTAGGTTATTTTCATGTGGCACACAGTGTCTATCTACAACAGTGACTAAGTTGCAACTTGAAGTAGAGTTGAGCAATCATTAAAAATATAAGCAAACCGGGCGCCTGGGTGGCTCAGTCGGTTAAGTGACTGCCTTCGGCTCAGGTCGTGATCCTGGAGTCCCTGGATCGAGTCCCACATCGGGCTCCCTGCTCGGCGGGGAGTCTGCTTCTCCCTCTGACCCTCCTCCCTCTCATGCTCTCTGTCTCTCATTCTCTCTGTCTCAAATAAATAAATAAAATCTTTAAAATATATATATATATATATATATATATAAGCAAACCATGCCTTAGTATTTCTTCATTGAACTAGTCAATCATATTTATTATTGAATACTATTAAAATTGGGGCGCCTGGGTGGCTCAGATGGTTAAGCGTCTGCCTTCGGCTCAGGTCATGATCCCGGGGTTCTGGGATCGAGTCCCGCATCAGGCTCCCTGCTAGGCGGGGAGCCTGCTTCTCCCTCCTCCTCTGCCTCTCTCTCTCTCTGACTTTCATGACTAAATAAATAAAACATTGAATACTATTAAAATTAAACATTCCTATGTCTAGCGGCGCCTGGGTGGCTCAGTTGTTAAGCATCTGCCTTCGGCTCAGGTCGTGATCCCAGACTCCTGGGATCGAGCCCTGCATCGGGCTCCCTGCTCAGCAGGAAGCCTGCTTCTCCTTCTCCCTCTGCCACTCCCCCTGCTTGTGTTCCCTCTCTAGCTGTGTCTCTCTCTGTCAAATAAATAAAATCTTTAAAAAAACAAAAAAAAATTCCTATGTCTAATGGCAGTATTCTCTTAAATAATGTGTATATAATTCAATTCAACAAGTATTCACTAATGGCCCATTGGGGATATAGTAATAAAAAGACAAATAAGGTCTTGCCTCACAGTGGAGCTCACGGTTTGGGAAAGACAGATTTGAAGTAGGTAAAGAGTATAATGGGCATCACAAAAAGGCACAGTACAGTGTGCCATTCAAGCCTCTAATAGAAGAAATAGAATTAAAGGTTTCACAGAAGGCCTCCCTCAGAAAGCAGGACAGAGATTATTCCTTTGTCCTACATACATAGTCCAAAATTAACCAGATCAACTGAATTGGACTGATATGTAAAAGGACAAATTGAGAACTATACCACATACTGAAACATAATATTGATAACAAAGGTAGAAAACACATATTCTTTTAAGCAGGTAAAAGGAAAAATATATGACCAAAGCACTACATAGAAAAGGAAAATCATCATCTTACTTCCTTTCCTTTAAGGGCAGTTTTCATCCAGGGGAGATCTGATCTGTGGACACTCAATAAATACAAAATAAGGCTGGGAATAATCATAAAATAAAAAACCTAATGAAATGACAATGAGCCACAGCCAAGTACTTTCACTTAATTAGGTAACTAAGATGATTCATCCACTGAGAACAAATGAAATATGCTTGAACCGTATGTTTAATACTTATGCTACATAATGTGCAATAAGGCCAACTTAAAATGCAAATTTTAAAATTAATAACTTACCTTGCTTCTTTCATTAGTGTTTATTTTTCCCCCTATGGGTGCCTCCTTATCCCAAGAGACACTGACTCAGGATTTGTCAGTATCTATTAGCAAGAACCTGTAGACATCAATTTTAGCTCCTGAAGGATTCAAATATGAATGCATACCAGGCTCAACTTTTGTTTTGAACTGCCACCTGTCATAATGTCCCAATTATAATGGACCAATCCTTAAGGCCTTAAATAATGATTGTTATGCTGAAAATCCTTAAGTATAAAGGTTAAAGATGACTAATCTCCCCCTCTACGATAAAGTTTTCTTTCAGAGTTTTTCAAAAGAGGCCACACTAATATTCAATATCTTATTCAGGGTCGTGTTTACAGGGATATATACACATGTAAAAAATCAAACAGTACCTTAAGATTAGTATACTTTATGTACCTTACTATACATATTTTATACCTCAATAAAAAAGAAGAAATAAAGGGGAATATCTAAAACTTGCTGATACAACTTAAAGATATTCTGTGGCAGAAACATGAGGGAGTAAACTCCCTGATACTCAGGTTTGACGACAGAGCTGGTAAATAAAGAGAACACAAATATAACTGATCTTTAATAGAAATCACAGATAGCTGGGAAGCCTCTAAGTGGATACAGTGGGTTCCATGAAAAGATATGCCAGTTCCTTACCATGAAATGTCTCACCTTTAGAGGTTCATAAGCAGCAAATGTGGCACTGCTCTCCAAGTACTCTTCAGACTCAGTCACACTCACTGTTACCAGGGTATGGCCTAGAGATTTGGCTGCTATATGTATACTAGAACAGTGTGTTGGCCCAGGTCTTTGAACACCTGCAAATCAAAAATATGACTTCATTAGGGTAATAAGCAGTCAGTTCTCAAGGGGATCAGTCTACAGAAATAGAAGAATTTTAATACATTAAAAAACATCTTGATCTTGCACACTAACTACTAGGCCCCAGTTTATATCAAATCGATATAAAAATCTGCTCCTTCTATTAACAGATATATACCATGTAAGACACAATTTTATGTTCAGTGAGGATACAAATATGAGCCAAGATCCTAACTTCAAGGCATATATAGTTTAGAAGGCGAGAGTGAACATTTACATAAGTTAAAGAATTTGTAGAAAATGATAAGCAGTATAGAGGTCTAGAAAACAGAAAGATTACTTCTAGTTGGAGAGGTCAAGGAAAATTTAGATATGTAGAAGATAGTATCTCAAACTGATGAATGAGCAAAGACAGAAATATAAATGAGATACACATGAGTATATGAAGGAGCTATACAGGAAATTTTAACTTAAATAGTCTGTTTAGCTGGAGCCATAATTAAAGGAAGCCAAAGTACGACATAGTATTTCTTTATGAAAAGGAGATTGGGTTATCTTGTAGAGACCTTGAACATTAAACTAAAAGGATTCAGCTCTATTCCACTGGTAAGGAGAAACCTCTCACATTTTTTGAGCAAGAAAAGTAGTATTGAACGTGAGCTTCAGGGATGCTTGGGTGGCTCAGGCAGTTAAGCATCTGCCTCTGGCTCAGGTCATGATCCCAGGGTCCTGGGATCAAGTTCTGCATCGGGCTCCTTGCTCAGCGGGGAATTTGCTTCTCTCTCTACCTGCCACTCCCCCTGCCTGTGCTTGCTCTCTCACTCTGACAAATAAATTTAAAAAAAATCTTAAAAAAAAAAAAGTGAGCTTCATGAAGGTCCACCTCCTAGCCACAGATTATCAAAGGTGAGCGAGCATCAGTTAGGAGGATACTGTTATATTCTAGGTGAGAGATAGTGAGGGCCTAAAAATTAGGAGACACACCTTGAGAACTGAGAAGAGGAAAGAGATATTATATAGTATACTTAGTAAGGGCAAGGCAGAAGTCCATGTTATAGATGTATTGTGAGAATTAAAAGAGTTAATATATGAAAAGTATTCAGAATAGAGCCTAGCAAATAGTAAATGCTGAGTGAATGTTATATGCTACTACTACTATTATTACTGATTAAAAAACAATGGTAATCACGATCACACACGATAATCAGTAACAGGAAATGATGTTAGTCTTTACAGATAGCTTGTTCACATTCTCCTTTTATTAGAAAAAAATACTTTTTTTGAATAAATTTAATAATGGTAGTATAGCCATCCTAGAAAGAGGTATGATATATTTAAAGAAAGAGGAAAAGAGCTCAATACCTTCATATGAGCTGAAGGAATGGCCACAACACTTCTTTGAACATGTTATTCAATTGCTGGGCTTTTGTTTCTAAATTACATTATAACAAGGTAGTTGACAGAACAAATAAAAGCATTGTAAAGAAAGGTAATATGTGAATTCAGACTATAATTTGTAATTCCTGAATTGATGATTGGTCTTCTCATTCAATGACAAAGAAAGGAGAAAATAAAGGGCCTACTCTTACCTTCCTTGAGAAGAGTAAAGACTCCTTGCTTATCCATGTTCAAATCCAACAATAAATGAGAGCAGTCTGTGAACATGATGACTTCTTTGTTCTCCTTCTTTACATGATACATTGCAATGGGGATTTCTATAATCTGGCCAATCTCCACATCAGCATGAAATGGTAACAGCTCCATTTTGTTCAGTTTCAGGACATATATCTGGAGATAAAAAAATTTAATCTTTCAAGAAAGTTATGTTAGAGGCGCCTGGTAGCTCAGTCGGTTGGGCATCTGCCTTCGGCTCAGGTGACAAAGGCAGATGCCCGACCGACTGAGTCACCCAGGCGCCCCACATTCCTTAAATATTTAAAGACATACATATATAAACATATATGTATGTTTTAAATACAAAAATATGTATCATATACCAAGTGTGTGTTGGGGGGTGGGTGCTGAGCATGTCACTTGTTTCATTCCTTCATCAGCTGATTCCTCTAAAGCATCTAACACCAAACAGCAGGAGTGTGGCAAATGATGGCTAGTGCCCAATTCTCTTAGTTTTTTAGGTGAAGAAGGGTTTTTACATTCTTAAAAGGTTTTAAAATAAACAACAACAAAGAACAGGAGAGTATATATGGTCTACAAACACTAACATATTTACTATCTCGCCCTTTACAAAGTTTGCTGACTTCAGATACAGAGCACTTCCTTTTTCTTGACATCTTTAAAAAAAAAAAAAATCTTTTGTCTTTGCTATAGATTGAATGTTTGTGTCCCCCCTCAAATTCCTATATTGAAATCCTAATCCCCCAATGTGATGGTTTTAGGGGGTGAGGCCTTTGGGAGGTGATTAGGTCATAAGTGAAACTAGTGCCTTTATTCAGGAGACCCCAAAGAGCTCCCTAGCCCTTCACCATGTGAGGATACAGCAAAAAGACAGTCTTCCATGAATCAGAAATTTTCCCTCACCAGACACCAAATCTGCTGGTGCCATGATTTTGGATTTGCCAGCCTCCAAAACTGTGATAAATACATTTCTGTTTATATTCCACCTGGTCTGTGGTATTTTGTTATGGCAGCCCAAAGGGACAGTTTTTTTCTGTCACTTTCTATGCTTCTTCTGCTAGTTCATCTTGTTCTGCCTATGTCCCGACACATAGTACTCAGAGTCTATCTTCTCTTCTGACTACGTGCTCTTCCCGGGAAATCTTAACCAGTTCCAAAACTTCAATGACCAACCATATACTGATAATTCCAAATTTTTGGAATTTTTTCTAATCTTTCAGTTGTACTTCAGAGCCCTATTTCCAATTACCACCATTCACCCAGATGCTCCACAGGGGAATCACACTGAATGTATCCAAAACTTGAATTCATCATCTTCCTCTTTTTCCTTTTCCTGTGTTTTCTATCCACCTAGCTGCCAAAGTTAGAAATGCCTGTATCTAAATCCTTCACTGTTGGGGCACCTGGGTAGCACAGTCATTAAGCATCTGCCTTTGGCTCAGGTCATGATCTCAGGGTCCTGGGATCGAGCCCCACATCGGGCTCCCTGCTCGGCAGGAAGCCTGCTTCTCCCTCTCCCACTCGCCCTGCTTGTGTTCCCTCTCTCGCTGTGTCTCTGTCAAAAAAATAAATAAAATCTTTAATAAATAAATAAATCCTTCACTTTTCCCCAACCCACTAGGCATCAAATCTGACTATGTCTACCTCCAAAATAACGCTCCATTTTCCCTTTCTCTCTATTCTCAATACCATATTACTAGTTCAGGCTTCACTGGACACTTTGTCTTCCTTTCTCTATCAGTTGATTTTAGTCTACTAGTATACAGCACCAGCAATTATCTTCTGTTCCTTCCTTTTTTCAAAAAATACAGTTGTTGTCTGACAGAAAAAAAAAGATACTTTCTAAACACAAGATTTACCATATTATTAACCTTAAAAAAACCTGTATTGGTCTACAGTAGGGGATCAGCAAATGTTTTCTGGAAAAGGCCAGAGAGCAAATATTTTAGGCTTTGGGGACCACATGGTTTCTGTGGCAACCCCCAACTGTGTAGTTGTGGCTTGAAAGTGGCTAAAGACCATATATGAATGAATGAGGTCGGTTGTGTTCTGATAAAACTTTATCAAAAAAACAGCAGGTTGACTGTGACTCTTAGGTCTTAGTTTGGCTCTATCTTTCAAAGTCTTGTTCAAGTTCTCATCTCTTCATAACAGCCTCTGATTAGTCACATCTACAAGGATTTTTATTTTATTTTAAGATTTTATTTATCCATTTGACAGAAATACAGAGAGAGCACAAGTAGGCAGAGTGGCAGGCAGAGGGAGAGGGAGAAGCAGGCTCCCCGCTGAGCAGGGAGCCCGATGCAGGACTCGATCCCAGGACCCTGGGACCATGACCTGAGCCAAAGGCAGCCGCTCAACCAATTGAGCCACCCAGGTGCCCCCAAGGATTTTTATTTTATAATACTTTTACTATACAAGTTAAGTAGCTCTCAATCATATACTGCTTTAAAATAGTTCACATCATTTCCTTAAAGTGTTATTTAACTTCATGTGACTAGATCTTCCTATCAGAATTTAGATTCTTTAAAGTAGAGATGATATGTTATGTTTCTTTGAATGTCCTATGATACCTGGTATGGTGGTAAATGTCTTAAGGGTACTCAGTAAATGTTAACTGAATGATAATAAAACACTAAGTTTTTCAGGGAACAACATACATGAACACATATTAGAAGTGGGGGAAAAACAGTAATGTGGTTATATAATATAGTGAAAAGGAGTTTTCAATCTTTAGGAACAGATGGACAAACAAATATGAGATCAGAAATAAAGTTACTATGAAGGTCATATATATGATAATGACAAAACACAGTAACAAAAATAAATAATATTAAGTATTGAATATATTCCAAGCATTGAGGTAAAACATTATCTCATTTAATTCTGACAATAACACTTTGAGGTAGATATTATCATTATCCCCATTTTAGAGACAAGGAAACAAAAACACCCATTCAGTAACTCACTATTAAGTGAAGCAGGATTCAACACAGGTCCAGGAATATTTAAGGAAGATGAACTTCCAGACTGAATTTGAGCATCATTTTCAAATACCCAATTTGGACTAGAAAGATTTTTTAAACATGTTCTGTACTTAAATTTAGACAGCCATGTCTCGGGGGTTATAATAAGGTTCTTTGGAGAGTTGTTTACCTTAATTTCTCCATATCGAAAGGGATTTTGTACATCTCGGGCCCAAACAGTACTGTTCCCCCTGACCTGACCTGCAGTCACCACTCCTTTAGTGGTCACCATGGCCACTGTTTCATTAGAAGAGGTCCAAGTGAAGTTGCCACTGCCACCCTCTACCTGTGAAAAAATACAACTTTATATTTAACTGCCAAAGGAGGAAAATGGAATTTAAGTAAAGATGTAAAATCTGGTGAAATAAGAAATAAGAAATAAATAAGGTGCCTGGGTGGCTCAGTCAGTTAAGCATCTGCCTTCGGCTCAGGTCATGATTCCAAAGTTCTGGGATCAAGCCCCGCACTGGGCTCCCTGCTCAACAGGGAGTCTGCTTCTCCCTCTCTCAGCTCATGCTCTCTCTGTCTCTCTCAAATAAATAAATAAAATCTTAAAAATAAATAAGATAATAATAAAACTATATAACAAATTATTTCTGGACATATTAAGAAGCTGTGATGCTGGGGTGTCTGGTCAGCTCAGTCGAGAGTGACCCTTCATCTCGGGGTTGTGAGTTTGAGCCCCACCTGGGGTGTGGAGATTACTTAAATAAATAAAACTTAAAAAAAAAGAAACTGTGATGCTATAGTAAAGTAGCTAAATGGGCAAGGGAAAATGAAAGGAGGTTATGTAATTGGCAGTATCACAAAATGTCAAAAAGAGCACAAGGGAGCTTGACCAAAACTTTACAAAAGTCACAAGTAAGGGATACGAGGAAGAGAGAAAGTACAGCAAGTCTTGTTAGGATGACAGTATTCAAGAACATGACTTAGTTATCACCAGAAACTGAATTATATTTTTAGGATCAGGGGGAGATAAAAATTAACATTAACCAAATTTCAATAAATTAACAGAGAAACTGACTTATCTCTTTGTAAATCCTCATATAATAGGACACCATACCTGTACTTTATACCGATATAATATTCCCATAGGATGATGAGGAAATGCCAGAAAGTTGGGTGTAAGCTTGATGGGAAAATAAATCTTCACTTCTTGCTGATGTATGATTGGAAATTTTATAGGCTGAATATTTTTATTCTATAAGAGCAGAAAAAAGGAGCAAAATAGATTTTATAAGGACTGTTTTTATAATCCATTTATATTCAAAGCATCAGCAAAATGGTGTGCTATTGAATTACTCAACCAGTTTCTTTCTATAAAAGAAGTAAATAAATGTTCCTACTCATTAAAGAAACACAGCTACTATAGTTCCGTAATAATGAGGGGTGCCCGGGTAGCTCAGTCAGTTAAGTGTCTGACTCTTGATTTCAGCCAGGTTATAATCTTAGGGTGGTGTGATTGAGCCCCACGTCAAGCCCCATGCTCAGTGGAGTCTGCTTAAGGATTCTCTCTCTCCCCCAGCCCCTCATTTTCTCTCAAACAAATAAAAATCTTAAAAAAAAAAAAAAAAAAAAGAACCATATGATCATTTCAATAGACACAGAAAAAGCATTTGAAAAAGTACAATATCCATTAATGATAAAAACCCGCAACAAAGTGCGTTTAGAGGGAACATACCTCAACATAATAAAGATTGTTTATGAAAAACCCACAGCTAACATCATCCTTAATGGGGAAAAACTGAGAACTTTTCCCCTAACTCAGGAACAAAAGCAGGATGTCTACTCTCACCACTTTTTTCCCCAAGGTTTTATTTATTTATCTGAGAGAGAGACAGCACGAGCAGGAGAGTGCGTGCAAGAGAGCACAAGCAGGGGGAGCAGCAGAGGGAGAGGGAGAAGCAGGCTTCCCGCTGAGCAGGGAGCCCCGTGTGGGACTCCATCCCAGGACCCTGAGATCATGACCTGAGCCGAAGGCAGACATTTAACCATCTGAGCCACCCAGGAGCCCCTCTCACCACTTTTATTCAATATAGTATTAGAAGTTCTAGCCACAGCAATCAGACAACAAAAAGAAGTAAAAGGCGTCCAGATTGGTACGGAAGAAGGAAAACTGTCCCTATTTGCAGATGACATGACACTATATACAGAAAACTCGAAAGATCCCATCAAAAAACTTCCAGAATTGATAAATGAATCCAGTAAAGTTGCAGAATACAAAATCTATATATAGAAATCTGTTCATTTCTTGGGGCGCCTGGGTGGCTCAGTTGGTTAGGCGACTGCCTTCAGCTCAGGTCATGATCCTGGGGCCCTGGGATCGAGTCCGCATCGGGCTCCCTGCTCAGCGAGGACTCTGCTTTTCCCTCTGACCCTCACTCCGCTCATGTGCTCTCTCTCTCATTCTGTCTCTCAAATAGATAAATAAAATCTTAAAAAAAAAAAAAAAAAGACACTGTGGGGATACTAAGAAATGGGTTTGAGAGATATTCAGAACTGACACCGCATTCGATATTGTACTGAATTGAATGTAGCAGGTGATGGGAAGGAAGGACCACCGTTGGGGTTTTACCTTAAACAACCAGATGAAAGGATCCATGAAGAATGGAAGTAATTTGGCAGGCTATTAAAAACCAGAAACTCATGCATTTTAGAGACAGTAGAAACAGATTCATACTTTATCCTTTTACCCAGTAATTCCATTTCTGACATTATACCATATGAAAATTAACCAAAAGAAAAATAATTGTACAAAGAAACTCAGTTATGGCATTTACAAGAGTGAAAAATGGAAATAATGCAAAAAGTTCATTGTTAATGGCATGGTTAAATAAATTGATATATTAACCCTTTGGATTTTCAGACTAGAAAGTACTCTATGTAAGCCTGACAACACATGGAAATGTGCACATGAAATAATTTTTTAAAGGAACTTCAAATGGTATATATACACAATGACCACAAATGCAGACATGAGCAATAACAAAGATTGCAGCAGAAAATCTGTACAGGTATAAACCACCAAGTATACTGTTTGTCAGTTTCTTTTTCATCTTTATGAAAGATAAAGCTGGAATATGCCATGTATCTGCCTACAAATCAACAAGTCAGCCAAGCCCCATCAGTGTTCTTGGGATTCAAAGACTGTCCTTTTAATTCCTACCTGGTAAATGATGGAAGTCAGGGATGCATTTATCACCACGACACCACTTTTCAGGGCTTTTACTACATGGTAAGATCCATTCACAGTAGTGAGCTGCTCTTCAAAGTACTCCCTTAGGAACTGGTACATAATCCTGAGATTCTGAAAATTAGCCCAATAGCAACACAAAACTGAGGAGATGTTTGTTTGTTTGTTTTTCCCCTAAAGCCATCTTAATCCCAAAGCATTAAAAAATAAATAAATAAAAAGTGTGGCTATGCACTCTGGGGATGAATAAAAACAAAACCTCAGCTCTTCTCATGGAGATCCTAAATTGGAAAGATGTAATTTTAAAATGGTACTTGAGAGATCCACTTAACGGCAAGTGATCAAAAATAGAGTCGAAGTTTATATAAATTTTGGTATAATTTTTGCCATTCCATAAGTTGACATTTTTCAGGGAAAACACCCAAAAGGGCACTGGAGGGTGAGTGCACCACTGTGTCTGGGACTTCACTGTTCCTTGCACCACTGCCAAACAGGTGACCAGCTCTCAGGGAGTCCTAGAATGAGGCATCCTCCCAAGTGTTTTGGCCTTCTCTTCAACTCTTTTATATAATTCTGACCAAATTATATATTTTACTTCCAGTTTAGCGTTCCTCAAGGACAGAACTATTTAATAATCATAATAAAGTAGTAACTTTAAAAGTAAAGTCTGGAAGCAAAAGAAAAAAAGGCTTCCTAGCCAGAAAGGGTGGCCCACTCAAGAAGTTATCCATACACGGGGCTAGAAGAATTCAAAAGAGACACTCACATCTGAAATATAGACCTTTGTACTGCTTCTATCAAACACTTCTACTGTAATGACATACACCTGTCCCACCTCTAGACTCCATCGGTCTCCAGGTTGAACTGTGAAATCTATACACAAATCAAGAAACAAAAATATCAGAAGAGGCCATTCATTTTCTACAATGAATTAAAAAATACAAACTTATAAAAACTATTCAGTGAGCAAAACTTGCTAATAGATGGAGATGATTTCCAAAGTTGATCCTTTAGTTCCATCAAATTGAATAATTTGGAATTCTAAAGATCCTGGCTTAACTTAGTTCATCTCAGGTATAAAGAAACACTCTCATTTATATCTGTATACAAAACAAACCACAATATTGCTCATTCCTAATGTGTCAGGCAAGATTTGAGCTTCTTTCAGTCAGACCAGTTTCATATAACCTAAGGACATTAGTATTCTTTTTTCTTTGTATAAAGCCTCTTTTTCTAACCCAACATTGTATCACATGGGTCTTCATATTTTTTCACAATCTGTTTCAAGATGCTTCACTCTTGCAGACAGCATGGAACCATAACAATGCGAGAAAACATGTCAAAGGAAGGTTAAATTTAAAGGTTCAAGAAGCACTCTGGTTTCTAATGCACTCATTTTAATGAAATAGTTTAAGCTGTTCAGCTTTCTGAAAATCATTCTCTAAAAATACCTAAAAATCCAGGGGTGCCTAGGTGGCTCTGTCGGTTGGGCGAATGATTCTTGATTTCAGCTCAAGTCATGATCTCAGGGTCGTGAGATCGAGGCTCAAGTTGGGCTCTGTGCTGGGCATGGAGCCTGCTTAAGATTCTCTCTCTCCCTCTCCCTCTGCTCCTCTTTCCCCCACCTCTCTCTAAAAATAAATAAATAAACAAATACCTAAAAACCCAGGCTCTACAACATATATGGTGCAATTTGGGAGTCCAGACACAGATCGCATATGGACATCTTAATTTTTGGTTAAGGAAATCATATGAACCAGAGTTGGATGAAAAAAGAAATGTGAGCTACCAAAGAAAAAAAATAATAAATGCACAAACAGAAACAAACAAAAATCCTATCTTTTATTATCCTTTGGAAAGCAAAAACTTAAATGTGTACACTTCTGAGAAAAGTCTGAGGGACTCAGTCATAATAGGAATCAGGTATTCTTGAATTTCAAATTTAAGGAAAATGGAATGATAGAAAAAAGATCATGCTCTATGCTTTTAATATTCATTTAGCTGTAGAACTCTTCCTCCAAGTAAATTCTTATATAAGGGGCCCATTATGGAAAGCAGGACAAAGTGGCATCACTCTGGCTGTTGAAATGAACAGTGGTGGATGCCTGGGTGGCTCAGTTGGTTAAGCGACTGCCTTTGGCTCAGGTCATGATCCTGGAATCCTAGGATCGAGTCCCACATCAGGCTCCTGGCTCAGCGGGGAGCCTGCTTCTCCCTCTGACCCTCTCCCCTCTCATGCTGTTTCTCTCTCTCTCTCAAATAAATACATAAATAAATAAATAAAATCTTAAAAAAAAAAAGAAAAGAAAAGAAATGAACAGTGGTGATGAAGAGGGAGGAGGGGTATAACTTGCCATCCAGCCCAGCAATTTGCCTTGGGCTCTGCAAACAGTTTTAAAAATCACTAGTTGATGGGGCACCTGGGTGGCTCAGTCATTAAGCAACTGCCTTTGGCTCAGGTCATGATCCCAGGGTTCTGGGATTGAGCCCCACATCGGGCTCCCTGCTCCGCGGGAGGCCTGCTTCTCCCTCTCCTACTCCCCCTGCTTGTGTTCCCTCTCTCGCTGTGTCTCTCTCTGTCAAACAAATAAATAAAAATCTTAAAAAAAAAAAAATCACTAGGGGCACCTGGGTGGCTCAGGTAATGATCCCAGGGTCCTGGGATCGAGCCCCGCATCGGGCTCCCTGCTCGGCAGGAAGCCTGCTTCTCCCTCTCCCACTCTCCCTGCTTGTATTCCCTCTCTCGCTGTGTCTCCCTCTGTCAAATAAATAAAATCTTAAAAAAAAAAATCACTAGTTGATTTTCCACTATCTATGGTAAATCTTTATTACCAAAATGTTTTCTCTTTGTCATGAAAGATACTCCTAGTCACTTATACTCCATATTACCCACTATCCCTTCAGTTAAATTCTAGCAAAAATACAAACTTATTCTGTTATTGTCCTATACAGAATCTAACTAGGAATATACTTCCCTCTCCAAAATATACTACACCCAAAAGCTAAGAAGAAATATATAACTGAGATGACTGAACAGAAAACACTCATACAGGGGCGCCTGGGTGCCTCAGTCGTTAAGCATCTGCCTTCGGCTCAGGTCATGATCCCAGCGTCCTGGGATCGAGCCCCACTGTCGGGCTCCCTGCTCAGCGGGGAGCCTGCTTCTCCCTCTGCAGCTCCCCCTGCTTGTGTTCCCTCTCTAGCTGTCTGTCTCTGTCAAATAAATAAATAAAATCTTTAAAAAAAAAAAAACACTCATTCAAAGTACACTAATTTAAGAGTTGTAGTAATTCAGTCATGTGCTAGATTACAATTTACCACTACAGTAATCCATCGTGATAATGGAAGTAAAATAATATTTAATCCACTTGAGGGATCAAACTTTCAAAACTGCCTCAATATTCCAAATGAGCTATTGATATATATACAATTGATATATCAATTAAAAATTACTTTTCTGTAGTCATTAAAGCAAATCTTTGAGAGACCGTACAGGCACCTCTGTGCCAATCTAGGTTTGATTCTGATATATACTCTAATACAACATTCATAAAATGTAAGAGCTAGAAGGAAATTCAGAGACAGAACATTCCCTCCACTTTACAGATGAGGAAGCAGATCCGGATAGATCTCTAAACGAATTCATTCCTCCTCTGTCAGAATAAGAGATCTTCCACCTAATCCTTCCGTCTGCTCTGCATCTCATTTTCTCTTGCCCCTCAGAAACCTTGTTCCATCATCAACTGACCCTCCTTTCTCCCCTATCTCTGCTCTTTCTCTGTCTACTTACAGACATGTTCAAGTTTCTCTTCTCTTAAAAAAGTTCTCACATCTTGGGGTGCCTGAGTGGCTCAGTAGGTTAAGTGTCCAACTCTTGATTTCGGCTCAGGTCATGATTTCAGGGTCATGAGACTGAGCCCTGCCGTGTGGGCTCTGCACTCAGTGTGGAGTCTGCTTAAGATTCTCTCCCTCTGCCTCTGCCCCTCTCCCTCCTACTCATTCTCTCTCTCTCAAATAAGTAAAATATTGAAAAAAAAAAAAAAAGAATTCCTCTTTTTCCATATGAACCTTAAAAGCTGGCACTACATAGTCTTTGGTCCTCTTCTCCTCTCACTCTATATACTCTCCCTAAGTGAATTTTGTCCGCAACAGCTTCAACTATCACCTATCTATAAACTGATCTCTCAAGTATCTTTCTCTATCCTGAATCTTTCTCCTCCAGATGCATAGTAAAAATATCTGCTGGGGGCACCTGAGTGGCTCAGTTAAGTGTCTGCCTTCACTCGGGTCATGATCCAGGCCCTCTGTCCCTCCCCCTCCTTCGTGGTCTCTCGGGCGTGAGCTCTCTTGCTCTCAAATAAATAAAATAAAATCTTTAGGGGCGCCTGGGTGGCTCAGTCGGTTAAGCATCTGCCTTCGGCTCAGGTCGTGATCCCGGGGTCCTGGGATCAAGCCCCATGTCAGGCTTCCTGCTCCGCGGGGAATCTGCTTCTCCCTCTCCCTCTGCCTGCCGCTCTGCCTACTTGTGCTCTCTCTCTGTCAAATAAATAAATAAAATGTTTAAAAAAAAAAAAATCTTTAAAAAAATAAAAATAAAAATATCTGTTGGCATGTCTATCCCACAGGTACTTCAGGTTAACTTGTGAAAAACTAATCTAGTTTTCTTTTCCCTTAAACCTGCTGCTTCTCTGTTTCTCTACCCAATCTCTGTGAACAGTACCCACCAGCCACTATGGTGCTGGAAGACACTATGGTGCTGGAAGGTGCGGGAAGAAATTGTGAATAGTCACCATCCATATCCTCAAGGGAGACATGTAAATAGATAAATATACTTTAATATCTACTACTTTGGAATAAATAACAATATGAACTGAGAATATGAAAAAAAAAAAAGGTCGTATAGTGTGCCTGGGGAATTTGGGGAAGTACCTGACACACAGCTGGGGCTCAAATATTGAATGACTTGGTTTGTTTTGTAGGTACTATATCGTATCTGTTGACCAATGTCCTATGCACCTTAAATGACTAAGAAACAAACAACTTTGGACCAAAAACCCTCCTTAATATGTTTTAGACAAGTAATATAAATAGTAACTAATATGATGATACAAGGTGCCACATAACTTACTCCCTCCCCTACTCTACCACCTCTCCTTCTTTCCCGATTCTCGGCACTTCAGCCTTGCTATTTCCTCTTCCTGGAGCTCTTTCACCCAGGTATCTGCATGACCCACTGCTGCAGTGTGGCCTTATCAAAAAAGACTTCCCTAACTACTCTGAGTAAAATAGCAGTCCACATCCCCAGCACTCAGAACAATGTTGAGGATATTGTAGGATTGTAATAGATATTTGCTAAATGGATTAATTTCTTTCAGGTTCAAATATTCAAAAATAGGAAATATTTCAAAATCAAACATTGAGAAATGGAGTCCAAACATTTCAATTTTCTGGAGTTTAAATCTTCATTCTGTTTTGTTTTCTTTGACTATAACAGAGCTCTAAATCTCTCTTTTTGTTCAGTCCTTACAGAGCAGGTTTAGTCAATTTTTAAAAATTACTCTCAACTCAATTTAACAAATAATAATTAAGCATCTACTGCAGACAATACCATACCATCTTTTCTCAATTATTCATGTGGAAATGGGAAGGAACAAATTAAATAAAATCCACACAAGTTTCTTCAAGCTGTTTCCCCCAGTCTCTTTATGATTTAATTGAGGTTGCAAATAAGCACTGAAACCAAGTTCCAACTATTCTTTTCCCCACTTACCCTCTGCTAGAAATTATGACTATAATAATTTATAGTCCTTTGTTAAAAATAAAGCCTATACCAAATAAGTATAATCTTAGCAAATTACTTTACCAAGGAACATGTCTCACATGCTCAAGGAAACACAGATTGACAGCTAAAACTTGAAAAGGATACTTTTATGGACAAAGACAAGGTTAGTTTGGCCCAGTTGGACAGCAGTCACCATAGCTCTTTTCTCATCCAGTAAAGCCACTTTCCCAGAAAGAGACCAGTTACATGGAACTCTGTGGTCTTGCAATTCCAGTGTATAGTGTTCTAGGGGAAACCCCACCTCTGTAAGACATAAAGATACATAAATGTAACAAGAACAGCCACTTTTTTTTTTTTAAGATTTTATTTATTTATTTATTTATTTATTTATTTATTTTTATTCTTATGTTAATCCCCATACATTACATCATTAGTTTTAGATGAAGTGTTCCATGATTCATTGTTTGTGCATAACACCCAGTGCTCCATGCAGAACGTGCCCTCCTCAATACCCACTACCAGGCTAACCCATCCTCCCACCCAAGAACAGCCACTTTTACACTGTTGTAAAGGACAACAGTGTATTGTTGGATTATACGAGGGAAATCAGGAAGCAGGCCTAAATAAGAGTATGATCTGCTTACACTTCCCTTCACACTATGATGAATTTTGACATAGCCATTTGGGGGGGGGGTACTATGTGAGTTTATCATTGGTATTGCTTGCATTCTTAAAAACCAGTGAAGTGAAAGTAGTAAGAAGGATCCCCATTAAGGAAGGGAGGAAAGGACCAATGTTAAGGGAGCCAACGCACACTTTATAAACTCAGTGGGACGTCTAGGGTCAACAGAGTGTTTTCAATGAATGAACTGGGTTTCTCAAGAAACAACTTTTGCAAAGATCATTCAAGTCCCTTCTGGTAAAGTTTCCTCACTTGCCCTATAAAATCTACTAAATATTTGGTTGTTGTTTTAACAGAATTCAGATGCCTATAGGCACTGGCGCTAAGCATTCACCTGTTCAAGACATCTCTGTCCAGTATTATCTCAAGTATAGCAATTAAGGAATACTTTATCACAAAATCCAAAAACACAAAGAAGTATTTGTATACATAAGGTGGAGCTGCTTCTCTTACTGTCAGCAGGAAGGATTTGGGAAATGTTAGTCTTAGGAAAAGATAAATCACCTTACCTGTCATTCTTCCCTGCACCATTTTTGCAACTCGGTATTTAATATATGCTCCTACTAAGAGATAAATATCATGGGATGGTATAAGAAATATATTCTCCAAAACTAGCAGACGTATCAATGCTGCTGCCACTTTCTAGAAGAGGAAGGAAAAAAACTAGGTTCCTTAGGCAAAATCCTGAAGGTCATCTCCCTTGTTAAAAGTTTACTTCTTATAAGTCTCTTTTAAAATATCTTACAGAGATTTAGGGGCGCCCAGGTGGCTCAGTCGGTTAAGCGACTGCCTTCAGCTCAGGTCATGATCCTGGAGTCCCGGGATCGAGTCCCGCATTGGGCTCCCTGCTCGGCAGGGAGTCTGCTTCTCCCTCTGACCCTCCCCCCTCTCATAAATGACCAACTATTGACCCAAATCATATCAGGTTAAAGGGCTTCTACTATAAATAAATATAAGGAATAGTATTTTTCACGGAAAAGGCCCTTAATTGAAAGTTTCAAAGTTTATGGCACAAACTTTTTTACCTTATAGAACGGCTCATAAATTCGAACTTTTACAACAGCAGCACCAGTTCTGATCCCAGACACCAAAATCATATCTCCTTGTTTCTCTTCTTTTTCCATCTCAGCTATATACACTGGGGGAGAATATTCTGCTTCGGAGTATTTCAGAATCCTTAAGAGATAAAATAAAGTTTGTTTCTAGCGCAATCAAGTAATGAGTCATCTTCCAAAGGGCCCTAAGAGACTTTAAACATAGTCTCTTCAATGTCTATATAGTGTAAAAAGTCCGAAAATTTGTTTTCCATGGGCGCCTGGGTGGCTCAGTTAGTCAAGCGTCTGCCTTGGCTCGGGTCATGATCCCAGGGTTCTGGGATCGAGTCCCACATCAGGCTCCCTGCTCAGCAGGGAGTCTGCTTCTCTCTCTCCCCTTGCTCCTCCCCCCTGCTCATGTTCTCTCTCTCTGTCAAGTAAATAAATAAAATCATTTAAAAAAAAATCTGTTTTGGGGAGACTGGGTGGCTCAGTTGTTAAGTGTCTGCCTTTGGCTCAGGTCATGATCTCAGGGTCCTGGGACTGAGCCCCACTTCGGGCTCCCTGCTCCGCGGGAAGCCTGCTTCTCCCTCTCCCACTCCCCCTGCTTGTGTTCCCTCTCTGGCTGTGTCTCTCTGTCAAATAAATAAATAAAATCTTTTAAAAAATTTTAAATTAAAAAAATTAAAAATAAAAAAATCTGTTTTCCATAAGGATTAGATAGAACAAAAGTATTTAATGTGCCTCGGGCTAAAACTGTGTGGTACTAAAACTTGGGACTGCGTGAGAGCTGTTTCTTAGTACTAAAGACAAAATTTCATACTATCATCCACTCACTGTATTCCAGCATGTGCAGATGGCATAAACAACAAAACTGCCAGAAGACACACCTGGCTCAAACAATTGTATAGTCCTGAGCTCATGAATTCCTCTGCAGTGGTTCAAATTAAACAATCATAAAAGTACCTGCACCCACACCATGTCATTCTATCAAAGACATTTCCCCCTGGTAAATTTATCTGTTCCAAAAAAGTCCAGACAACAGCATTATCAAAGCTGTTGCTGTTCAGTGTGCCACCCAAAGGCAGATGTCTCCTTCAAAATCAGATGGTTTATGTTTGGTTTCAATGTTACCTAATTTTGCTAGACAATTCTTCTCTTGCTGTTTCGTTATCCTGGGCAATGCTCCACTCAAACATCATCCCTGCCAAACTACTAAAAGTATTTCCTATAAAGCAAGCCAAAAGCAGACAGGACAGAATCACATATTCAAAAATATTCAGGTATCTTTAACAAGAAAGAGAAACCTACCTAGAAAATTATATTTAGGCCTCCTTCATTAACAAATAGAAGCACTACCATTAAGAATTTAAAACACATATACCAGGAAGATCCCTACACAAACAATAAAAGTACTGTTGCTACACAAACTTTCTGAATGCAGAAAAGACTCAAGCTGAGGGCGCCTGGGTGGCTCAGTCGGTTAAGCGACTGCCTTCGGCTCAGGTCATGATCCTGGAGTCCCTGGATCGAGTCCCGCATCGGGCTCCCTGCTCGGCGGGGAGTCTGCTTCTCCCTCTGACCCTCCTCCCTCTCATGTGCTCTCTCTCATCCTCTCTCTCTCAAATAAATAAATAAAATCTTTAAAAAAATAAATAAATAAAATAAATAAATAAAAAAAGACTCAAGCTGATTAACTTCTGGCTGACAAAAGTTATGCCACTCTTTCTGTACCCTTCTACATAAAGGCCACCATATAGTCTACCTCAGGGTTGACAGGCATCCTTAAATCCTGGTCCCTTCAACAAAAATTTTTATGAAAACTAGATTCCAGAATATTTCTAATATTCATTGTTCAGATTTAAAAAAATATCATTTACAATGGTTTACAAAGAAAGTGGCAATAAATTTAAATGTTTTAAATACCATATTACACATTAATATGGTACACTAAAAGCAATATAAAATCTGTCTCAAGAAAGATAAAATTATAAATTTTTTTCAAAGGTTAACACATAATTCCCCTGGCTATAGAAAGTGGACTGACCAAAACAGAGCTAGTAATAAATTCCACACAAATGTTCTTAATGGCTGATCTAGGGACCATCCGGATATTTAAGAAAACTTCTGAGATAACCAATAATTAAATATAGCAGAAAAATTTTATGAAAGTATGTAGTTAATACATTGAACCATACTCATAATTATCAATTCCTCATGTACATGAACTTCATATAAAAAAATAAATACTATTTCTAATCTACTTTTATCTCTCAAGTTGCTTTTTTTCCAAGTACTAAACACAAAGGAGTATTACTTTATTTTAGGTAATTTTGTTGAATCTTCTGAGTCCCTTACCTTCAGCATCCAATGCCCTCACCATCAGTTCCAGTGGTGAATCATCTACATAGAGTTCCCGGGTTCGAGATATAATTTCAATGCTGTCTATCACATCAACCTTAACATCACAGCGCAGTTCATGGTCAGTCACTATGATGAACCCAAAAACTTAGAATTTAATTCATTAGGTCATGAATCTATTAAATGTCTCAAACACTCAAAAGCTTATTCTATATTATAAAAAAGAAAGGCTATAACAGTTGCTTTCAACCTGTGGAAGAAAAGAGCATAATGAAAAATTCAAAAGTCTGTTTATAAGGGACAATAGACCAGGGCGCCTGGGTGGCTCAGTTGGTTAAGCGTCTGCCTTCGGCTCAGGTCATGATCTCAGGGTCCTGGGATCGAGTCCTGCATCGGGGTCCCTGCTCAGCGGGGAGCCTGCTTCTCCCTCTGCCTCTCTCTCTCTCTCTCTCTCTGTCTCTTATGAATAAATAAATAAAATCTTAAAAAAAAAAAAGAGAGATAACAGACCAGTCATTCTCAAACACTGATCTATAATATTTTCATTCATCCATGGAAAAATGAGAAAGGTAAGAACCTTAATATAATGAGTAATAAAATTAAATGTATTCACTTTGAAGGAATATATTTTAGGGGTACCTGGCTAGGTCAGTCAGTGGAGCATGCAACTCTTGATCTTGGGGTTGTGAGACTGAGCCCCACACTGGTAGAGATTACTTAAAAATAAAATCTTAAAAAAATAATAAAGGAATATACTTTATTATTATATTCTGAGCTTTGAAGTATTAAAGTTTTTTCTCTTATGAAATTATGGCATTAGATTTTTTTTAATGTATTTGTTTCAGAAAGTAAAAGGGTGACAACCATATGTCAGTCCTACCAATAAATTTTTCTCTCTGAGGTTAAAAAGCCTGGCAACAGTGTATTAGACCCAACCAGAGCTCTGGTCAATATAGCCACAGTGAACTTCAGAAACACAAAAAGAAACAGTATAGAATGAAATGAGGATGAAATAAAAACTGTTTTGTACTATCTTTTAACAATAACCCCACCTCTCATATTTACCATGTGTTAGAGAACTGCCTACATAGCTGTCTCATTCTGCTGTTATAACTGTATATTTTTTTACTTTTAGCTTCATCTACAAGAAACAAAAGCAAAGTAACTACCACTACAATACCCAAAATTACCAATGGACATCAAGGGTAAACCCTGTTCCTAGCTGTGGATCCGCTTTTATGGAATTTTTATTTATTTTTATTTTTTAAAAAATATTTATTTATTTATTTGTCAGAGAGAGAGAGTGCACACAAGCAGAGGGAACGGCATGCAGAGGGAGAAGGAGGCTTCCCGCTGAGCAGGGAGCCTGATGCAGGGGCTCGATCACAGGACCCTGGGATCATGACCTGAGCTGAAGGCAGACGCTTAACTGACTGAGCCACCCAGGCAGCCCTACTGTGGAGTTCTGATGGTGATTTTCTATTTCCCTAATCCTTCCCACACTTTAATAGCATTCTTCTGTAAGGAAGGTAACTTATATCTTACAAACAAGTTCTCATTTATTTATTCATCATTTATGTAAGTATTGACTCATGGATATTTATTTTTGGTTTATAATCCAATACTATCATAATTTATTTTGTTACTCCAGTTTTTCTAGCTTTGGCCATTAGGAACTCTTTCAGGTTGACTCCTGTGTCCTTTGGGCTTGCCCCATCTTAATTAAGTAATTAGTTGTAGTACTTCCTTACTTTCTAGCCCTATAAGATGAGCCAGGCCCATCTTGTATTTTCTCCTGCCCAGCTATTTCCTCAAGGAGTCCTGGTTCTTTCTGTTAGAGAGCTGTATTTAGAAACCAAGATCTGCTGCTAGTGTGCTTGCTGCTGGTACTGTTGACTGTCCCTTGGCCCTCTCAGCAGACAGTGTGAGGAAGTATATGTATATACACATATCTGTATTTCTATGTCTATTTTTCTGTGTATATATTAATGTAAACATGAAATCATAGTGATATCTTTGGTTCTAATCTTGCACCACAGTGTAATTCCTTTCTCTGGTAACGAGAAACCTGACACTCAGTATCTACAGTGTATTTACTTATTTGTTGAACCCCAGTGTAAATATAGTTTCAGGATGATTAAGTCAGTTTTTGTGTTTCTTGTGAAAGGAAGTATAGCTTTGCCTGAAATAGAGCATATTTTGATGCTCCTTGGCCTTTTTTGAGGGGCGCTTGCCTATATTACCTGATTAACATTTTCCTTCGATTTAAAAATTCCATAAAAGAAGGGATGCCTGGGTGGAAACTGTCATAGTCACAGGAGATGAAGGAAACACAATAATGTAGTTTACTAATGTGGTGTCTTGAATTAAATCCTAGACCAGAAAAAGGACATTAGTGGAATATTAAAGAAAACTGGGTCAAGAGTATATGGGAACTCTTTGTACTATCTTTGCATTGCTTCTGTAAATTTAATATTATTTCAAAAGAAAATATTTTAAAAATTTACTTGATTAATCTTTTACTTAATATTTAATTGAACAGAACCTGAAGTTAAAAGAAATGAAGAATGGGAAGCCTGGGTGACTCAGTTGGTGAAGTGTCTGCCTTCAGCTCAGGTCATGATCCCAGGGTCCTGGGATCAAGTCCCGCATCAGGGTCCTTGCTCAGCAGGGAGCCTGCTTCTCCCTCTGCCTGCCGCTCCCACTGCTTGTGCTCACTCTCTCTGTCAAATAAAGAAATAAAATCTTAAAAAAAAAAAAAGAAAGAAATGAAGACCAAAATACGGGAGCTATCATTAAGAACCAAGAGAAGCTGAAATCTCACGGGATCTGCTGGTAAAACATACTATTAAGGAAGTGTTCCAAGGATGGCAAAGGAAGGAAGGGTGACCCTACATAATATATACTAGATAATTAGGCACTGGATAACCTAATTAAACAGGAAATTAAATACTTTTCTTCTGTGGAGAAATACATAGGGCAATCATAGGACAGAAGTAGCTGTGAACTTACATAAAAATATGAAAAGCCTTGTGCACGCAAAGACTACCCATCTAACCACTTCAATAGCAATAAGCTTTTCAATAGGGTGCCTGGGTGGCTCAGTTGGTTAAGCGACTGCCTTCGGCTCAGGTCATGATCCTGGAGTCCCGGGATCGAGTCCCGCATCGGGCTCCCTGCTCGGCAGGGAGTCTGCTTCTCCCTCTGCCCTCTTCCCTCTCGAGCTCTCTGTCTCTCATTCTCTCTCTCTCAAATAAATAAATAAAATCTTAAAAAAAAAAAAAAAAAAAAAAAATAAGCTTTTCAATACATGGCCATCGACCATAAAGAAAAAAATTACCTTGTATGAATCATAGGAAAATTTAGAGTGATTAAGAGAAATACCATACCTTCAATTTACTTTTTTTTTTTTTTTTTAATTTTTAAGCAGGTTTTTTTTTTTTTGGACAAGGACAGGTAAGGGGAGGGGCAGAGGGAGCGAGAGAAAATCTTAAGCAGGCTCCACGCCCATGCGGAGCCTGACAGGGGCTCCATCTCACAACTCTTGAGATCATGACCTGAGCCAAAATCAAGAGTCAGACACTTAACCAACTGAACCACCCAGGTGCTCAACTTACCTCTAAAGATAAAAATGAATAACTTTAGGGGCACCTGGGTGGCTCAGTCGGTCGAACAGCTGCCTTCGGCTCGGGTCGTGATCCCGGGGTCCTGGGATCGAGCCCCACATTGGGCTCCCTGCTCAGCAGGAAGCCTGCTTCTCCCTCTCCCACTCCCCCTGCTTGTGTTCCCTCTTTCACTGTCTCTCCCTCTGTCAAATAAATAAATAAAATCTTCTAAAAAAAATGAATAACTTTATTAAATAATATAATGAATTTTCTTATCTACATGTTCATATTACTTCAGGTATACTTCAGGTCCACACAGGAGCAAGGTAATAAAGAAAGAAAAATGAATGAAATAGAGAGGACGAGAGTTGATCCAGGGAGATGAATTAGGAAGAAGAAAAAAATAAAGAGAATGAAACCAGTATTGCAAGAACCAAAGGGATGCAGAGCCAGGAGCAAAAGAGAGGGAGCAGAAATGGCAAATATTTCCTGCCTTCCCTGATTCTCATATTTATCCTAGCTTCCAAATCAACTCCTCTTGTTTATACAATTATATTCCACTGTATCAACTAATCAACCTGTAAGTATTTACGGAACATCAACAACATGCTGAGCATACCACAATAAGTACGGATCACCCTATATTCCTCTCACCCTGCACCAAAATCATCCATTTATTCAAACCCTTTCTTCCTCTTCCATGTCAGCTAAAATCATGCCTTCATCTCTAAACTCCTCCACGTGTCCTTTACCTAAGGTTAAAAATCTAGATTTCCCACTAGAAAAAGGGCATATTCATATATTTAGACTGCCTCTGAAGGATACAGAAAAGTGACTCTCCTGGAGAAAGATTAAAGGCTTACTTTTTCACTATATAACCTTTTATATTCTTTGAAGGTTTTACCAAATGAAGTAGCACCTAGTCAAAGCAAAACAAAAATCAAAAGAAATGTAGCATTCTTACCAAATAAAACAAGCCCCCTAGAGTCTATCACTTCTATCCATCATCTCCATCACAGCCACTAATTTGCTTCACTACAGTGTTGACAAAAACATCATAAAATTCTAAGTACCTAAATACCAATGGAGTGCTTAAATCTTTCTATCTTTACAGACACCTTACAGTTACTAGGCATTTCAATAAATATTCATCAAATGAATGAACAATCTCTCTTAGGCATATGCTTCCCTTTCACAATGTCCTCTCCCTCTCCCACCCCGCCCTTTCAGAGTGCTCTTTTCCACTCAGATGAGAATGTTACCTGGTAGAACACTGAAACTGGCAATTTATTATTGAGAGTTTAGCAAAATTGGGAAAGCTGATTTAAAAGATACTTAACTTTGGAATACTTATAAGTTAGATGAAATTAAGCTGAGAGCCAGATTTGACATTTTTCCTAGCAATTGTGTAAATGTATCTTTTGATATCAGAGTGAATTCATGTAGTTAAAAGTAATTACATTTAAAAATTGCTTATGTGACCAATACGATTCTTCTTTTCTAACCTTCTCTATTGTAGCTGCCCTGTAAGACATGTTCCTCAAATATTCTCACCTTTGAGAGTCCTCATACCATATTTCACTGATTCTAGGACAGTTTTTGATATTTTAACATCTCTGAAATTGAGTTTTATCTTATAACTGATGACATCGTTCACTTGCTGTCAGCCAGGCAGCAGTCACAACATAGTTGTGATTGATTGCATATGTGAGAACATTAAAAGGCCAGCATCAAAACTTGTAGAATGGATATTAGTGGTAGGAAGAAAATCTGGTGGCCAAGAGTGACACTCTTTAATCTCCTGGGAATCAAATGATTAAGGAGATGGGGTGAGAAGGGTAGTAGCTCAGATGTGCCGGGCACTTTTCCATAACTAGAAAAAAGCCCCACAACATATCCATATAATTGCAAAGCTAACTTAAGAGCCCAATATTTAGCTTTTAGGGTTTTTTTTTAAGTTTTATTTACTTAAGTAATCTCTATACCCAGTGTGGGACTCAAACTCACAACCCCGAGATCAAGAGTTACACACTCTTGGGGCGATTGGCTGGCCCAGTTGGTGGAGAATGTGACTCTTGATCTAAGAGTTATGAGTTCCAGCCCCACTTTGGGTATATAGATTACTGAAAATTAAAATCTTAAAAAAAAAGCTACACACTCTTCCAACTGAGCTAGCCAGGTGCCCCAGCTTTTACATGTTTTGTTTTTAATTGATTCTTTTAAGAAATACTGCATCCATAACAGTCTTACTGGCACAGAGGACGATATTGTGGGGATAAACACAGACATTGATGATTCCCAGTGAAAAAGTGTTTCATCTGAGACAGAAACACTATGGTAGTTTTAGAAATATCTTAGCCAGTTTATTTTATTTATATTTTCCTTTTTATTAAGCATGAGAGTGAAACATAATAAAAATAACCATCTAATTAAGTCTTAGTTCTTCTGTAGGTATAAAATAGAAATTCTAAGCGAAGAAAAGCATAGTTTAGTTGGCTATGTTTATCTTAGTGGTACATTAAAAAAAACAGCTTTATACTAGATGGCATCTTCAATCATATGAAATATGGTATACCAAACAACTTTAACTTCTCTTTAATAACATAGTATAGATGTATCATTTATCAAAATATTTATAAAACTATACAGGTATTTCTGGCCTATCAATGTAGCAATGAAGTGCCAGAAACTCTGGGATACAAAAAGCCTTGCTTTGATTTTGGATACAAATAGGATTTCTCCAGCTGCTCTAATCTAAAAAAGACTGGTGCAGTGCTTCCAGACTTTAGTAATGCATGAGAATCACTGGAGAGCTTAATTCCCTGGACCCATTCCTGAGATTCTAATTCAGCAGAACTGAGATGGGGTCTGAGAATTTACATTTTTCTTTCTTTTTGGCATCTCACAGTTACATTTATTCACACCACACAGGAAACAACACATCTACAAGTGTACAGCAATGCTCCATGTTCCCACCTAACAGAGATTGCTGAGATTTACAGTCAAAATGACATTCCATCTGTACTCTAAGTAAAGCTGGTCAATGATGACTATGAGCAGGTGCAGGACTTGAAATTTTCAAAGCTTTACTTCTTTTATCAGCAATCCTGATTTTATGAACGATGAAGCCCATGAACTCCATTCCTACCCAAATCTGGTAAAGTTGGGTAGAGCAGGGCCTCATGGGGACCCAAACATTTTTTAACAAGGCTTTGAATCATCTCAGCACAGGACCCCTAACTCAGGCTGCCCCAACCCGCACGGCCAACGACCCGGGAAGGTCACCAAGTACACTCTTTTCCCTTCAAGGTTTTATATTTAAATAATCTCTACACCCAGGGTGGGGCTTGAACTTCCAACCTAGAGATAAAGAGTCGCATGCTCCACCAACTGAGACGGCCAGGCACTCCAAGGATTTACATTTCTAGGACTCCAAGTGATACTGATGCTGCTGATGACACAGGTTCACAGACCACACTCTAAGTACTAGCGTTTTTAGTTCCTTTTGCCTTACTCAAGACCCACCTCAGACCTTAACACCTAAGCTAGTTCCAATAAATAATTCCTTCTTTTCTTCAAGGATTCGAAAAAACTAGGGTTTCTACTCTGTCTCAGGCACCACACCAGGTACTAGATATATTAAAGAAGTTGGGGGTGCCTGGGTGGTTCAGTGGTTAAGCGTCTGCCTTCGGCTCAGGTCACGATCCCGGGGTCCTGGGATCGAGCCCCGCCTCGGGCTCCCTGCTCCGCGGGAGGCCTGCTTCTCCCTCTCCCGCTCCCCCGCTTGTGTTCCCTCTTTCACTGTGTCTCTCTCTGTCAAATAAATAAATAAAATCTTAAAAAAAAAAGTCACAGAATAGGACACCACAATTAGGGTTATTCTGCAGATTGCTTTTTTTCTACTTATCATTTGAAGCCAACACCATTTGTATTAACCATGTATAAAGATATCAGATTATTCTACTCTAGATGAACGATTTCACAGTGTGTTTTCTCTCAACATACCTATCTCTCGAGCAAGAATAATACTGCTGAGGCGTATCGGTTGGGTAGATTCAGCAATGAGCATAGCTTTTTGAGAACATAAGGTGCCATTTTCATATAAAGGCTCAACAGTTACTGCATCATGATGGGTGGAATGCCTGTCAAAATAAAATACTTAAGAGTTTGAAATAAGACTGTGGGCTAAAATTAACTTTCAGGAGAACACAGATTCTTATAGTTTTTCCATGTTACACATTACCTGGTGTATTTAAATGACACTATTTATTTATTTTTTTTTTTTTTAAAGATTTTACTTATTTGAGACAGAGAGAATGAGAGAGAGAGAGCACATGAGAGGGGGCAGGGTCAGAGGCAGAAGCAGGCTCCCCGCCGAGCAGGGAGCCCGATGCGGGACTCGATCCCGGGACTCCAGGATCATGACCTGAGCCGAAGGCAGTCGCTTAACCAACTGAGCCACCCAGGCGCCCATAAACTACACTCTTTAAAGTGTCATTTAAACCATGCTTAGAGACACAGGATTTCAGTGAGACTGATCAGAACCTTTTCCCAGTGATCCCTTGTGCAATGTTACACATGTATTATATTCCTCCCTTGATATTTAAAATAAGATTGCAGGGGCGCCTGGGTGGCTCAGTTAAGCGTCTGCTTTTGGCTCAGGTCATGATCCCAAGGTCCTGGGATCGAGCCCCACATAGGGCTCTCTGCTCTGCGAGGAGCCTTACTTCTCCCTCTGCCCCCTGCTCTTGCTCTCTCAAATAAATAAAATCTTTAAAAAATAAGGTTGTTCCATTCTTCCCTCAGTACGTAAAAACAGGATTGATGGGGGTGCCGGGGTGACTGGGTTAAGCCTCTGCCTTCAGCTCAAGTTATGATCTCAGGGTCCTGGGATCAAGCCCCAAATCCAGCTCCCTACTCAGCGGGGACTCTGCCTCTCCCTCTCCCTCTGTGCATGCACACGTGCTCTCCCTCCCTCCAATAAATAAATAAAATCTTTAAAAAAAAACAAAACAGAACAACGGACTGATGTTTTGTTTCCAATAATGAGAGACACACATTTCTCATACTGTGAGGAATGAGTTTTGTCCAATCTTAAAACTGGGCTGTCAAGACAGAAAAACTGCCTAAACTATGAGGTGTGAGTGCAACTCAAAATACAATTTAAGAACATGTTTTGGGGCGCCTGGATCCCTCAGGCGGTTATGCGTCTGCCTCGGCTCAGGTCATGACCCCAGCGCCTTGGGATCCAGCCCAGGGATCGGCTCCTGCTGAGCGGAGTCTGCTTCTCCCTCTGCCGCTCCCCGGCTTGTGCTCTCTCCCCCAAATAAGTCAGTAAAATCTTCCGTGCATCGCGCACACGGGGCCATGTTCCAGGCGCGACCCCCTTCCCCTGCCTCACAGCGGCGGCTGAACTTCTCTCCCCGCACGGCCTCACGGCCTCTCTCGGGAGTCAGGAGAGGGCAATCCAGCCCCGTGGTGCGGCGGCGCCCACTTCCCCTCGGCGTGGAGGAGGCTCCCCAACACGCCCTCACGCCGGCGGCAAAGCGCTCCCCCGGGCAGGCCTCCTCTCCCCCCGAGGCGAGTCTCCCCACTTCCCGGTCTCGGGGCCTCACCTCGCTCCTCGGCGAAGTGGGGTGCAGGGACTCACCCACAAGGCCGTGAGCGGCGTCCCGAGCCCCTCGGGAAGAAAGCCCCGGCCCATCCGTCGGTGAGGGCCCCCGCGGCCAACCCCAAGCCCCGCCCCCGACGCCTCCTCAGGCCGTGCGGGGCCGCCTCCCGCCCCGGGGCTGCCCCACAGGAAAGGCGCTGCGGCGGCATCCTCGTCGAGGGAAGCCCGTCCGCCCTGCAGGGCCGAGGGGGCGCGAAGTCTCGGGGCCCCACCCCTCACCAGGTGTAGCAGCCCCGCTGCGCCTCCAGCAGGAAGGGCACGCGGCCTGGCTCCCGGCCGAAGGGGAGCAACACCTGCGGCACGTTGAGCTTGTTGGCCAGGGCCCCAAGCAAACACTGAAGCAGCAGCGCGACGCCGGGGGCAGGCCGGCCCACAAACGGCCGGCCGCGCCGGAGACGCGGGGCCCCAAAGCCCGTCATGGCGACCACCCGCTCTCCAGTTCCCGCTCTTCTACGGTCGAGGCCCGGCCCCAACGCCGGCCAATCCGCGGGCGCGACGTCGCGGGAGGCGGGGCCTCCCCCCGGCTGGGAATTGTGGGAGTTCCTGCAGGGAGCGCTTGTCGCGGCGGCGCGCGGCGAGGCGAGGCGGGCCCGCCGCTCGGAGGGCAACTTCCCGGGAACTTCTCCGGCGGCAGATCTTTTTCACGGTAAAGCAGCGGAACATCTGGGCAGTGCTAACCTCTCCCGGTTTCATTTCCTCTGCTGCCTACCCTGTGTTCGGTTCCTAGCCAAAAATGGGTCGTGCCGTAATTTCCAAGCAGCACTGGTCCGTGCCTGTAAGTGGGAAAAGTCCCCAGTCCCAGTGTAAACGAAAATGTAGTATGAGTAAGAACTTCCCGGATAACGAGCTGGGCTTGGCCGAGGAAGGCACGCGCGTGTCCAGCCCCCAGGCCAGAGCGCGGCGATGCTCGGCGCGCCTCCCGGCGGCAGCCGCCGTCGCCAGGCGCTCGGAGCTGCGGGTTCACGCGTTTCCTCCAAACGGCAGCGGGGCACCAAGTGCCAGCTCAGAGGCCGTCGCGGGACCAGCGTCAGAGGCCGCCGAAGTCCTCTAAGGAGCCCCGAGGCCATGGCTTGTGAAACGAACACCGCGGAAAGGGAAAAGGTACAGCTCGCCCGGAACGTGCCGGTGCCAAATGAACTGTAAGAGGCCTGGCACGTACTATTCTCTCTACGGCCCACACTCACCCTGGAACACACAGTACCTTTATTTTACAGATGGGGAAACCACATTATTTACATCAGGACACACGAGTACGAATCTCTGAGCTGACTTTCGAGCCCAGTTTGGGTCTGCTCCACAGCGTGCGAGCCCCACTAAATCCTGTTGCTACCACCCACAAAGATCTGATTTTTCACTCAAACTGCATAGTTCCTGTGGAGAAAGCACAACGGGATTAGTAAATAAAAGTCAAGTAGGTCTAAGGATTAGAGGGACTGGTTCTTTATTTCAAAAAGACACTTGTCAATTTTCAGTATCAAAACAGTCTGCACTATGGGTTTCTTTCTCCCCATCGGCCCCCAGAGAGCACACCAAAGGAGAGTGCATTTTAAGCCAATAAGCTGCAGGATGCACACCTAACAGGCCTCACAGAAACCTCACCAAAAAGGGGAATTGGGGAGGGAAAGAAACTTTAAAAGATCAGCACACTGTCAGCCCACAGACTGTAGAGAGTTCTTAGCCAGACAGGGTGGCCAATGTGCCCCAACCCTAAAGAAGCAAAGTTTCAAAATAATATAAAATTTAAAAACAGTTTTGTACATAATCTATTCAAGATTTCTCCAGCACTAACTGATACAAAGCACAAGATGGCACTTCAGACACAGCAGCTTTGGACCCAGCAAAGGGTGATGAGATGAGTTTGTTTCATATGGCTAAATCAGTGGCAAACACATAATTTTCTTTTTTTCCTTCAAGGAGGCAGGAGAGAAAATAAGCTGTCACCTCAACATAAAGGGAACATGATCCATTCCGTGGGCAGTTAGGGTAAAGACAGGATAAGGATTTGGTCTCAGACAGAGGTCTCACCATCTTAATTTGTTTGGTCACTTCTGATGGAAAAAAAAAAAAAATTAAAAAATAAAGTTGCTCGAAGATACCTTAAAGCTGAAACCCTGAGCCACACTTTTTTGGCCACTCCTCCTGGAATCACCTTTCTAATCTGGCTGGTACTTTGGACAAAGCAATGAAGCTTCCCAGAGTGGGTCTCTTTCCGGGCTCTGGCTCTCAGTAAGGCAGGCCCCTGCCTCCTCTGTGGAGAGGGCAGTATGCACTAAACTGAAAAGTTACTTTCCAAATGTGAGGAAGGGAACAGACTGCTGCTTCAGAACTGTGGAATTATTTGGAATGTTTTACAAATGGTTGCTACATCAACAACAACAAAAAAAGGTAATTACAAAATGTGTACATCACAACATGCTTTTAAAGACACTTTGCATTGTGCTCACATTCCCTTAAACATTGTTCCCAAAGGTGCTCAGCCTCAAGCCCAACTGGAATCTCTAGGGAGAGGCAGAGACAGTTCGGCGAAAAAGACACAGGGGTTGGGGTGGGAGAGGCGGCAAAAGGAGAAAGCAGCCTTCCAGTTAAAGATCAGCCCTCGGTTTCAAGGCCAGCTTCGGGCAGGCTGGCCTCAGCGGAGTCGGGATCAGAGGGAGGAGCAGCGGCAGGGCGGGACTGGGGTGCTCTACATCTCATTCAGGTCAAGCAGAGTCTGGTCCAGCATCCTTTGTGTACAGAGGTGCTCCTCTTTGGTGCATTTCAGCTTATCTAATGGGGGTAAAGGAGAGATGTTACAAAACTAGAAGTAAACGTCAAGGTCTACCCACTCTGAGAATCACTCCCGCTGCAGGCAAGCTGCGGACTAACAAAGCGGCTGCCTTCTCAGACACAGGCGTGAGCCACTGCACCATTTGCTTCTGCAGGGCCTCTGGCTTTCCAGCTGGAGTTGCAGGTGTTGCTGTACTTCTGGGGGAGGAGGCTGGAGACCTTATCACTCATTTCCTCATTCACCCACATCCAACCAAGGCTTTCAGTTTTCAGTCACTGAAGGAGGAAGCCTTAAGCATCAGCCATCCTTTCTTCTGGGCTTTGCCCAAAGGACAGTACCTACTTGACAAGGCTCACTGGGGTGTGACCACTGAGAACAAGGATGGGCATGTTCCTACCAGTAAAAACAGAGTCTCAGCCTGAGAAGGGTACAAGAGGAACCTCATGTGTTATATAGGCTTCCTCCAACACGGAAAGGAACAACTGGTGGGATACATGAAAGACCCCCATAGCCTATCACAGAATCACTAAAGAACACAAAGCCAAGAATAAACCAAACATATAAGCAAAACCTCAACTGCGATTTTTGTAGAGCTATTCTCCAAAACTAGCCTGTGAGAGTTACTTACAATTACACATGGAAAAAGAAGCAAGAAGAAAAATGTCAAGAAGGAAACCAGTGGCTTGAACACCAAGGAAAATCTAATCTGCTCAGCAAGCAAACCACTCAGACTACTCTGGTGGCAAGGGGCAAATACTCAACATGGAACTGTTAATACCCCATACCCCCTTCTTTCCCTTCCCTTTTTTCCACCCAGTCAGAAGGGCCCATCTCTGGGCCTGCAGATGAAGCAGTCACGACATCTTATCCAATTGGTCCTTTTATTGTTAGAAAACATCCACGCAGGCGGAACACAGCCTTCAGTCAATGCACAGGTTAAAGAGCAGCAAGTAAGGGTGGACACCAGAAAACTCTCCAGGTTCCTCACTATGATCTCTCAGGCCCCTCCCTTCATCACCCGTTATCTCTTGAAAGGGACAGAAATGCAGTGTCAACTGTCCTCACTCTCCAGTACGATTAGGAAGTCAACAATATTCTCACTGCCCCAATTAAAAAGCAACTTGTGGGGCGCTTGGGTGGCTCAGTCGGTTAAGCATCTGCCTTCCGCGCAGGTCACGATCTCAGGGTCCTGGGATCGAGTCCTGCATTGGGCTCTCTGCTCAGCAGGGAGTCTGCTTCTCCCTCTCCTCCCTGCTCATGCTCACTCTCTCTCAAATAAATAAATAAAATCTTAAAAAAAAATTTTTTTTTTTTTTTTTGCTTAGGGCAAAATGACTTTAAAAAAAAACAATCAGCCTTTTGCTGGGGTCCAGGTCAGTGGTGTGAGCAGTATGCTCGGCTTAATGGGCACCAGTGAGCCCTGCCCGTCAGTCACAGAGATCATGCAGCATTAGCTTCAGCTGGCTAGAGAGCACGCGGTTTCGCTCAAGTTGGCTGTAGACACACTCTGCAGCAGCACCAGGGAGAGGAAAGAAGAGGAGAGGAAACAGAGGAGAAAGAGAAAAAGGGGAGGTTAGTAGAGTACCAAAAGTAAACTCTTGAGACTTTTGACTAGCTGATATATGTAACATGCATCTGAAAGGCAGGGTGGATACAAGGAGGACTCAGACAGAGGGCAGAAAGAGTCAGTCAGGTGGTAGAAAGACCAACAGAGGAACAAAATAAAATATCTTGACTGACAAGTTGGAAGGACAACATTTTAAGAAAGAAAAAAGTATCTCTATCTCCTTTACAAAGGTATTTATTCCCTGGGTTGAGAAACAGACAAGTGCAACAGGGCAAAGGAGGGAACACAGTTGGCTTGTAATCAGGGTTTGACAGAAACTGAAGGGAAAAGCTGGAACATTTTCTGTAAAACCATTCAATGTAGGGGCGCCTGGGGGGCTCAGTCAGTTAAGCATCTGCTTTCAGCTCAGGTCATGATCCCTGAGTCCTGGGATCAAGTCCCTGGGTCCTGGGATTGAGCCTGCTCCTCCCTCTACTTGTGCGCTCTTCCTCTCTCTCTGACAAATAAAAAAAAATCTTAAAAAAAAAAAAAGCACTCAGTACAGCATTATGAAGGATAAATTGGGATCAATATCCCTCCCTATACCCATTCAATCCTACTTTCTAATGCTCCTTGTTGTAGGTGCTCAATGGTTAACCGATCTTAGGGGCCTATCCATCAAACCCCCACCCCCCTTTTCAAAAATCCTGTTAGGGCGGCAGCATGTCCAGCCCCAAGGAAGGTGAATCACGATTATCCTGTTCTGTTTTTCCAGACTCCCTTGCAGTTAGGGGTGATTATGGGATACAGTTCTAGCCAATGAGATACAGGGGGTAGTCTGCTGGAAGGCTTCTGGGAAAACTAGCTTTCTTTCTTGCCTTAACATGGATGTGAGGGTGAAAGTTACAGATTTCAACCTCAAGAGAGGGCCAAGAGAATTCACAGAAACCCAGCCACACCAGGCCACAGTTGCTCTAATCTGGACTTGTTATTACAGGAGAAAAGTTAAGTCTCCTATTTATTTAAGCTATGGTTAAGCTGTTTCCCATAACCAAAAGCATTCCTGGTTAAGAGTAGTTAAGTACTTAAATCACTGACTTTATTTTCCACTTGAAGTGCACCTTAAAGAGGGGGTACAGAGAAACCAAACCCATCTGACCAGCACAGGCGTAATAGGAATTTGGGGACGGACCTTCCTGATCTCCGACTCTCAAGTTCACAACCAAGTTTCTTCCTACGTTTTACAGTCTGTTTCAAAATGGTCTCAGGACCTCAATATAAAGATATACTCTTCTGTCTTAAAAATCAAGTGCATTTGTGGGCTGATTGTGCCCACAGTCAAGGTGCATTGCTCAGGCACCTTGCCCTCTGGGCAGAGGTTTTCTCCAGCTCTACCTGGAAGCTGGTGACCAATATGGACCTAAGAATACTTGCCACTTTATGTACACTATCAGAACAGAAAACGTAAGTATACAAAATGATCCTGGGAGGGAATAACCAAAATAATAGTTGTATTATAGGGCAGAATTAGAGCGAACTTTTAAAATTTCACTTCCCATTAAACCAGTGGTTCTCAATACATGTGGTATTATTGCCTGTTCTCTCCCCTTGGAAGGAAATTTGGAGATGTGTGGGGCAGGTTTTAATTGTCCCAATAACTAGAGGACCCTACACATATTTATTGGTTAGGGGACAGCAATAAGTAGGACTGTTCTGTACATCCCATAATTTTCCTGGTTTAAATGACCAAAGTCCACCATTGAGAAACCCTACACTAGTCTTCAAGCTCCACGAGGCCTGGGATTGGACCTGTCATATTCATTGGGGCATCCCTGACAAATGCAGGGGTCCAAATTTGTGAACTCTCATTTCTTGGGCTTTCTGTGGTGTTATATACAGATTCTAAGTGCCACCTGACTCTTCTGTAGCATCCAAATTAGTTAGTGGGACTCCCACTCCTGTCCTGGGCAAGAAGGGCGTTGTCAGAATCTAGTCCCTCAAAACAGCTTGGTCAGTGAGGGTCTGGTTCCAGTTAGGGAAATAAAGAGATAGAAATGGAAGCATTTTCTTGCCTGATTAAATCCTAGGACACACAGTTCCCTAAGAATGACAGAAGGTCAAAAGATAAATGTGGTTATTCTCTCACCTTGAACTTCATACGTAAGGTTTCTAACCTTGCTATCTCTAGTAACTAGAAATTCAGGATCAGATACCAGCTCATTAAGTTCTTGGTTTCCTGGTAACAGCAAAATAAAACAAAAAAAGGCAAGCCAGAGAATCCATTTGGTCTGATGTTCCTTTTGGGCATGTCCAATTAATTAGGGAATGATCCCATGGATGCTAGACATCCTTAGGCTTCACTGGTCTGAATCAGGTCCATTTCATTCCCTAACAGGAAAAGGGAGTGGAAAGGCTTAAGAGTAAAGGAACTGTGCACACTCTAAAGCATCACAATTCCAGACATGAGAAGGAACAGGTTTTGCCTTTTTTTTTTTTTTTTAACTTCCCCCTAATATTAAGGCTGGGGGGTATCCAACCAATAGCATGAGAAAGGAAGAGACTGGGTGGAGCTAAGATAAGGCTACCCAACACTACAGGGCAGTTCTGCACAGCAGGTGACTTGGGATCCAGTCCCATGTTGCGCCTCATCCCAAAAACAGTAACAAGGAGGGCTAGAAAGGACTCTTAACACATCAGCCTGTGGTTCATTCTCAGAAATTAAGAGGGCACCTGGGTGGCTCAACTGGTTAAGCCACTGCCTTCAGCTCAGGTCACGGTCCTGGAGTCCCGGGATCGAGTCCCGCATCGGGCTCCCTGCTTGGCGGGGAGTCTGCTTCTCCCTCTGGCCCTCCCCCTCTCGTGCTCTCTCTCTCTCAAATAAATAAATATTATTAAAAAAAAAAGAAATTAAGAGGGAAAAGAGGTCAAAATACTTTGCTCTGGGACTACCAATGATGCTTGACCCTGTTCCCATAGCTAGTCCAGGTTCAAGTAGCATAGGGTGGCTTCCGCAAGAAGTGGAAGAATGAATTTAGCACGACACAGCATTTAAAATTTCACTCCGCTACCCTGCTTGTCGGTCTCCGTCCTTGCTCACAGCAGTCATTCCCGTGGGGAAAGACAGGGCCTACCAGAAGTATAGTGCCTCCCTTTTCCCCAATTTCTCTGCATCCTCACATACCTCTTTCGTCTCTAGGAGCCTTTCTCTGTACCCGTCAACCCTTTCTGCCCAAATACCAAAACATCTACAACTGTACCATCCAACACAGCAAGCAGTCGCTAACCACACGTAGCTGTTAAAGTCAAAGGCACCACTATCAGCAGAATCTTAGCTCCTCAGGCACATAAGCCATGTTCTGAGCGCTCAACAGGCTCTGTATGTGGCATCACACAAATTCTGCTGGACAGCACAGCTCTAGGCTCTTTGTCTTGCCTTGATTTTCCTTCCACTAG